GAAGAAGTAAAACAGACTGGGCTTTTTTCTCTTCTCGCTGCCGACTTTTTAGCGGATCGGCGCGGCACTGAATTCTCTCCGCCTGTAAGATAAAATACCTATTTCCCAATAGCCGCCCATAGCTCCGAAAATTCCACTGCTGGACAGCAGCTGACTGGTGTATGCACTGCACCTGTTTGGTTTGATTCGAATCGAAATTTTTAATTTTAATTCTAATTTTAAATTTTTATTTCCCCTCCCTTGTGATGGACTCCTGAGCTACTAGTAGTGTTCAACCTAAGCTAGAATGGCCAGATCCCTCGTGATCGTCAGGGCTTGCTAAAGATGCAAGAGGACTAGTCGCTAGGATTGCTAACCTATTTTTATTCTTGCTTTCCTGGTTACTTGTTATGAATCACAATCAAGACTAATATCCATAATCCGATCAATGACACTGTCCAGTAAAGGGTAGTTCTCAAGATTTTCATTGTTTGGGTCTTGTATCATGACTTTTATTATGAAGCTTCTTGTTATTATCAAGTCCATTATCTGATCTATTGAACAGTTTGCATTACTCCAGGTGAGCAATGTAGCAATCAACCCACCCCTCTTACACTGAGCTGTATCACCATGCTTGTTATAATACCAGGTATGAAAACTGCCTATTCTAGGCTACCTAGGGGTGCTATTGAACTACGAGAGTAAGGCGATCGACAGCCATACTCTGTATCGTACCGAGAGTCCAGTAAAGGAACGATACTTCAATACACCAATGGAAAGTCATGCAGTCAGCTGAGGCCCGACCCTGCTACCTTAATACATTCTGCTAGGGTACTAGTAGTTACGGAGTCTTTCCAGTCACCTTTCCCTACATTGTACTCTTGATGAATGATCCTCTCTATCTCGCCTTAGCAATAGTCAAAAAATGAGAACAGGGATTGCGCTTCACCTCCTATTGTGTAGGCATACACCCAAAGTAACCGACCATAAGTATAGTACAGAGCTAGTACGGGCCGCATGTTGGGGATCCAACATATCGGTCATCCTGCCTGTCATTGATATGTATGCTGACATGAAGTCAGCTGTTTCCTCGCCGAAGGCATAGAGGAAGAGAAAGAAAGAGGTGAGATGCTGCTTCGCAAGACAATATAGTCTCGGCCAGCTCAGTTACAACCCCAAGCGCAATAAGTAGTAACGTATGGGGGTCACAGGCTTCTCACTCAATACCCCAAGTTCTCCGTAACAGAGGGAGGGGCAGGGGGAAGGTCGACAAACTAAGATAATCATAAATTTGAGGTCCAGCCAACCTGTAGGGCCCGGGGTAACTTGATAGGAGGGTGTTTACGCTAACTCCAGTTTTTCATTCATATGGAAGTTCGTTGCGCCTTCCACTACAATAAATAGGCATCCGCAATACACCTTTGAGATTATCGCATGAAGCTCTTCAAATTCACTACCGGGCTAGTCCATGACAAGCAAAGCCTAAGATCACACGAAAAAATCGACAATCAGCCAAATTACTATCCATACACGCATTGCCCTTCTTGTTTTTTTTGTCTTGTTTTCGTTTCTCCTTTTTGTTTCTCTGACTTGACATGACCCATAGATCACTCATGAGGCAAATGTGGAGGTTGCGAGTGAAAGAAAAAAAAAATGGTCTTGGGCAGCGCAGCACCCAAGTGAAAACAAAATAGCCGGGATAGGTGAAACGTAGAGAATACAAAGCCAAATGTGCGCCAAACCTTCTCAGAGAATCCCATCACCGTCCCGTGTATGTAGAGTACCTTAACAAAAGAGGAAACGAGGTCAGAAACACCCATTCATGAAACATGGTACCAGGAGACCTGTCAAACGACAGCAGCGTAGGGAATAAAAGCACATACCTCCAGATTCTTGCACGCATGTCACCACTACCAGTGGCGAACAAGTTGTTTGTCGGGCTGGGAGCCACCGAGATCACTATCACCAAGTTAGACGAAGGTATCACCCGCAGGAGTTTTGATACTAACCAGAATTTTTGTGGCCCTGTAGCATCATCTGCGCATTTCCCGTGATCGGATCCCAGAACTGGACACCCCGATCCTTGGAACCACTCATAACCCAGTGTCCGTCTGGAGTCAGGCAAACACTGAGGACGAAGTCCTAATCCGAAAGTGTGGTTAGTATCTATATGGTTTTTCCTAAGATAAACAGCAAGTAGTAGATGGAGTTGCGGATATTAACAAACCTTGTGGCCCTCGAAAGTCCGAATGCATTTGCCACCTTTGACGCCAGTCCCAGGGAATGCACCACGGGGAACATTAAGCTCCCAGAGCTTGATAGTCTTATCGAGACTGCCACTAACTAGATCCCGGCCGTTTGGCGCAAAAGCAACCGAGTAAACGCTATCTTTATGGCCATCAGGGCTTTCCAACCGTTCAACTAAATAGCCAGTGGTCGTATCCCAGACGCGAACGCTCTTGTCCAAGGAGCCAGCTGCGACGTAGTGACCATCGGGGGACATAGCAACGGTTGTCACACCATCTTCAATGCTGAGAGTGTAGACAAGCTTGCCATCCAGAATATCCCATAGGCGTACAGTCTTGTCTCCGCTTCCGGAAGCAATATAGCGGCCATTGCCAGCAAAGTCAAGAGAGTAAATATCTTGCTCATGGCCAGTGAAGATATGCTTGATAGTGCGAGCGGCAATGTCCCAAACCTAAACCCACACTATTAGTCTCCTGATCAAACAATCAAACAAGGGGAACGGGAGGGCGGGTCTGAAGATATGTAGTTCAAAGAATATGATAGGCAAATACTGTTGCCATTACTCGCAAGGGTGGAAAAAGGTGGATATCACGAGTATTGACAGTGACAGAAGAGCTGTCCTCGGACTTACACGAATTTGCTTATCCTCGGCGCCGGTTGCGAGGAACTTGCCATCGGGACTGAAGCAAACACTGCGGATATAAAGATCGCCGTTTTTGTCCACGTTCTCGTCCTGAAGGGTAGCCACATTCTGGCCGGTCGTGACGTCAAAAATTTGCGCGGAACGATTGCAACCGGTTGCAAGATATTTGCCGTCCCGGCTGAAACGTACGCAGCAAACCACACTATCATGAACAAGATGATGTACCAGCTCGACGTCCAACACACGCTGTACTTCTGGGTTGAATACAGCGTACCAATCAGCACCCTCGCGTTTTTGCGAGGCAGGTAAATCATCTGGATTCCAGTTGGCCAACATGTTACCTGGGCGGTCACGGACAAGGGCTTGGCTAGGTGGGGTGGGCCGGGCCAACTGGGGCGACACACGAGGATCAGGATAGGCCAGTTGGTGGGTTTGCTGGGGAGTTGCTGGTCCAGGAGGAGCACGGGGTCTCTTTCCAGGTCCAGGAGAGGCGGTGGGTGGAGGCGGAGGTGCGTAACCTGTACAAAAGATCCACGAGTACGGGTCAGACATCAGAGAACCCACTATCAACTCAGTCACAACATACCGTTCACAGCAGCACCAGGCTGATATCCCCCAAAAGAGCTCTGCGGTGGCTGCGGCGCTCCTTGCTGAGCCGCGGGAGCAGGCTGTTGAAGGGTATGCTGGGGAGGCTGCTGATCCTGGGGAGGGGGAGGGGCAAGACCGGGACCACTACCTCCTTGGTTGGCCATGATCCCACCGAATAGATTACTAGGGCCATGACCCAATGCGGGTGGGGGGGCTTGCGAAGGGCCAGCGTGCTGCGCTGGGCCAGCAATATGGGACGAGACAGGTTGAACACCGCGCGACTCCAACTCATGACGCAGCACTCGGATTTCCGCTTCATAGCTGCAAAGAATTAGCTTCCGAAAGGGCCATTGTCTTTGGAAGGTCATTTCGTAGACACGTACTCTTGCTTCATTTTGATTTGTGCTTGCTCTAACTGGTAGACCTTCTGCCGAATCATTTCCATTTCTTGGAGCTGTCCGGTTACTGAGAGGATTGTCAGCTGTCCATTAAATCTAATGTTAATTTCCTTCTCTGAGTAGAAGAACCCCGAACAATTCCCAGCAAGCCATCGCACTTCATGCGACTGATGTATCGATGGAGGAGCCGATCACGTAAGAACCAGTAGGGAAGTATGCCCGACAAGGCTAGGCATGAAGGTTGACACGAGGCAGATACTGATGATTAGAGAGGAAGACAATTCAAATGCACACATACATTGATGTTCAAACTCGCCAGTGCTCCTAGATTGATTCTCAAATTCCTGGCGCAGTTGATCAAGCAACTCCGTCAAACGGGAGTTGGGAGCGGGAACCATCCCGCGATGTGTGTTATACATTGCGCGTTACTCTTGGTCTGTGTGTCCAGTATATTGACAAGAATCAAAGGTATGTTTGAAGATAATTCAGGGCGACTAGGCGGGACCAACGAAGAGCTTGTTCGCGCGACGTGAGGAACGAACGGTTAGTTTCGACTTGACAAACGGGTCGACCAGAAACGACAAAGGCTGCTGGTAGAAAGTCAATGCAGCCGCATCACAGCGCGCCCCTAAGGACCAACCGCTGTGGCAATATCGAGGTAATAAAGGCGGGTGTTGTGTGGCGGTAGAGACGTGGAAGGGGCTGTAGGGGGAGGAGATGCAGTTGAGGTTTAGAGATGACAGTTCAAGCACGGAGATCAAGGCTGGAAATGGATGGGGGCAGGAAGGCGGCTGAAGGTTTGGCGCGAGAAGCGAGGCGATAGGCGAAGAAGCGACGGGACTGGCCCCTTTTTAGCCTGGCGGGGCTTCCCGAAAGACCGTTTGCAGAGAAGGGACAGTATTAAGAGTTCCAAAGTGGATTTATGTCCATGGTACATACTTACTCCTAGTATTGACATAGAGGTTTTCCCACAATATCTATTTTACATGGTATACCTATATTGCCATAGTTTGTCATTTTCTTCAACCCTCTTACTGTTGATATGATCATGTCTTTTTCCGGCCACAAGCTTTCAATGATATAGGCTTAATGCTTTTGTTTTGTTTTGTTATTTCATTCTATCATTTTTTCCTATTTAAAAAAGATGGAAGGAAAGAAAGAAGGAAAGAATAGATATGTTATATAATACTCTGTACTCTAAAAAGACAAATGTGACACTCATATCAGTTGAATGACTCAAGAGGTCGGATGTATGTACATCCATATATTGAATACATGGCCTCTTAAGGGAACGTGTAGCTGTAATGTTACAGTTCTCAGTCTATTTCAGAGATGGAGTTGGACTCGGTAGCTTAATATTGAGTCCACGGTTGTATTACGGAAACAAATGCAGTTGACACGGCAACAATGCGCACCAGCACCACAAAGTTGATTGAATATTTTAAATGGTCAGTTTTCAGGCTTTCTTTTCCTTATACTTTGTCATACATGATAGTAATATGTAACTTAGACAAAGCCGGGCGGCTGTATATATACATGTTACTCAATACAGGATCCATTGGCTATTAGAGTGATAATGAGGCCGCATATCAAGATTTATCTGCCTTCCCGAAGCCACGGAATTCCGGATCGGGTATCAATTCTTAAATCTACTATACTGAGGTCTTACAGACAGAACCATGTACGGACCAGTAACAATGTACGAATATCTTAGACAGCCCCCAATATATACTACGAAAGAATATAGGAGTCAAACAATCACTTGGATATAAGTAGTTTTCGTCAATCTGTTTTAGTATTCGGTATAGAGCGGGTAGTTCACGTAGTAGTCCAGTACTTAGTTATACTCTGTAGTTAGTTCACTAGCTAGATAGCTATAGCTTAGGTAACAAGTCTACCTATAGTTAACTAGATATTCTCCTATATTACACAAGAGAAGTGGTCTTACAGACTCCCATAAATGAATATAAACACCGATGGCTTGAGTTCAAGAGTCTTAGGAGGATTGATCACCATAGCACTATTAGGAAGGGTAGCCGACATCAATACAGAGAGTTTGGCGACTCGGTATACTCCTCCGACTGGCTCATTCGGGGGAAAATACAAGATTACCCAGATACTTTTAGAGACAGATACTAATAGTTCAATATATTATGGTTTCCCTTGTATGAAGTTACACCTTTCATAAAATATACAAAATAGGCATTTTGTATCTGTGTGGGTTATAATCTAAACTTCGAGCAAGCTGCAAGTCCTAGGAACTATACAGATACCTCTTATAACACATTTCTGTGTATACTATGACTTAAATATCGGATTGATAGAGTATACATCAGCAATAATTACATTGTTAGATAAATACTATCAGTAGTTGGATAGCTGCAGTGGGTAGCTGGTAATGCAAGGTCATGGGTACTGTACAATAATACCGAGTATGTACCTAGTAACTTGTGACATTTTATTGTCCGTTTTCCTTTCCCCCTTTGTCTGGTTCACAATGATTGGATGAATATCGGCCGATTGATCTGGTTGTGTGAGTTTCATTCTATTTTGTTATTATTATTATTATTGTTATTATTATTGTTATTATTATTGTTATTATTGTTATTATTATTATTTTCTTATACTTTTTGCCCTCACTTAGTACTTCGGATACGGTAGTAACTGCTTCCCCACCACCATTTTCTGAACCGCGAAAAAGAAGTCCAAGTTCGAAAGGTACAAAAAACGGGGAACGGCTGTGATTGTTCCGCCTGGTGTGATGCCGAGCTTGGTCCTTATAGGCTATTTTCATTTTATTCATTCCCATCCATGCTTCACATCAATTTCCTCTTCTCTCCACTCGACCTAATTTCCAACCTATCCTTAAAACCCACCCTTCGGACTCCCCCGACTGGACTCTCCTCTCTTCTGCTTTCTCATTGCCTTTCCAACTCTTTACAACAATTGGGACAGTCTGCGAGTTAGTCATCGTTTTTTCTCTTGTCCAACCCGAATTATACTACCTTTCAAATTGGTTCTCAGGGGGATCATGGATATCGCCCTCGAAGTCTGGGACACCTTTATTGGTGACCGCTTATACGCCGCACTTCTCCCCGTCTCCCTTTCGTCCTCAGTTTCGTTTCCTGGCTTCAATCATGCGGCCAATAGCAGCCTGTCCTTCTTCGGCGCATCCCAACCCTTCATCTACGAACCGGCCACATATCTGATCTATCTGGAACCCTCGAAGTACGCGTACATGAGTGCCTGGCCCAGGAACAACATCTACCGCCAATTCCTGAGTTTCTTCTTGATTGTCTGGTATGCAAAGAGCCCCTTTCGCTAAGGCTGGATTCGGCGTCTAATGATCATCTATGGAAAAGGATATTCGGCCTTATCACCTATTTCATATCTGCAACACTATCTTATATATTTATCTGGGACAAGACTACCGTTAAACACCCGAAGTTCCTCAAAAACCAAATTCCCATGGAGATCGCACAGACCATGGGATCTATGCCCATCATGTCTCTTCTGACTGCCCCCTTTTTGGTCGCCGAGGTCCGGGGTTATGCCAAGTTGTACGATGGTTTCTCCGACGAGCCTTTTCCGTACTACAGCATTATACAGTTCCCGTTGTTCATTGCATTCACCGATTTCTGCATCTACTGGATCCACCGCGGCTTACACCATCCGTTGATCTATAAGTCTCTACATAAGCCGCACCATAAGTGGATTATGCCCAGCCCATTCGCCTCGCATGCCTTCCATCCGCTGGATGGATGGTCTCAGAGTGTCCCATACCACGTATTTCCATTTATCTTTCCACTTCAGAAGGTCGCCTATGTTTTTCTCTTCGGATTTATCAACCTCTGGACCGTATTGATCCATGACGGCGAATATGTTGCCAACAGCCCGGTCATCAATGGAGCTGCCTGCCACACAATGCACCATCTTTACTTCAACTATAATTATGGGCAATTTACCACACTATGGGATCGATTGGGAGGGAGTTACCGGAAACCAAACGAGGAACTTTTCCGCCGTGAGACAAAGATGGACAAGGAGGAATGGAAGAAACAAACCAAAGAGATGGAGTCTATCCTCAAGGACGTTGAGGGAGACGATGATCGCAAATACCTAGTCGAAGATGAGTCTAAGAAGGACCTGTGATTAACGCAACAGGCCCTGTCATGCCACTTCCTGCCTTCTTTTCATCCAAATCTCCTTGGAACTACTGTTGGCTGGTTTAGACAACCGTTACGAATAGTATAGGTTGTCAAACTCCTCTCGGGGAGCGGCAAGTTCTTTCTGGGCACCGCTAGATTAACGGGGAGAGCCACAGCCGTCTTCTGGGTGGAGCTAACAATATCCTGAGTTGGATCTTTTGCTTCTGACAGTGAGTGCTACGATATTTATGTTTTTTTTTTAATTCGTCCCGTTCGTGTGTCTTTGCCCTCAGTTCTTCCCCTGACCACGTCGTATAATACTCATTCTAGTATATTAGTTACTGCATTCCTGTTTTTGTATTCATGATCAGTCATCAACAAATCGTGATATAAACCATTGTCAATGGTGAAAATCACTGCAATTCCCTCCCATGTTCATGGTTTCGTTGTATATACATACTTTAATCTTAATTAAAAGCAGGAATGAAAATCAATATAGAGCATTTTTACTCGTTTCTCACTGCCACGATTCAGGCCCTTACCCTATGCTTAGATGTGCCTTTTACAATCTGCCGAAGACAGTACTATGAGGCCAGCTTACTCAGTTTCATCCAATTTTTGATTGCACCACCTCGATTGTCCTGCCAGAATACTTGGTGTGTGATCATATATGGTGTTAGTAGGCATACACCTATTGACTTGAATAGTGATCATAGAATTTTATGCTGTTCAACATACACGTATATATATAGATATTGAGAATGGAACCCAATTAGACTCAGTTTGCTTCTATACGCTGCTCTTTCAACATGCAGTGTTACTAATAATGCCTAACTGATATAGTGGATTTATTGAGACATAGTAGTGACTTTTGCGAAGTTAGAAACCTCTCGAAATTACCAACATCAGCTGGTGAGTAGATCGAACCAATCTTAAACTACAGTCAAAAAGGGCCCTCTCTTCTTTTCATCCCCGATTCATTTAAAGAAAAGAACCCCCCCCCCCCCCCCCCTGAAAGGCATATATAATAAAGACGAGAGTGCAGAGAAACTTCGTTTGGTATGATGCTCAAGACAAGGACGAATACTGACAGCAGAGGCTAACATGCCAAACCTTCCGATGACTTCCAGATGAGTATCTCATGAGACATCCGCAGCCCCATCTGCATCCGCGATGTCCAGATCTCCATCTGCTGGACCATCCATAGCCGTAGTTCCTTCCTGGAGCGGTGGTGCCGTTGTCCCAATAGGAGTGGCAGTGGCCATGGTTTCAGCGATAAATGATTCCTCGACACCGGCTTTTCGCCTGAACGCTCTCAGCCATCGACAGCCCCATTGTCTGATGATTTCGTCTTCTGGAAGCTCACCACTTCCATCACCCCTTTCCATCAATTCATCGTTGTTTCCTCCGGCGACTGACACAATCGAATCTTCAATTACTTTGAAGAGCGCCTGCATATCTGCCTTCTCACGGTTTAATGTGTCATCTAGAACACTCAACTGCGGCTCATACAGGCCCGGCTGAGTCCGTGCAGCAACGATTTGGCGCAGACGGTTGGTGACTTTTCCCACAGTGGATGATATCATCTCGAAAACGTGTGTTCTTGCCAAAATCGTCCCCGCCTCCAACTTGTCTACCAGTGCCCACTCAATGACGGATAGCGGCGTCAGAATAGTGTAATTCAGTAACTTGTCGATGATATTGATGCCGATTCCTGGCTGATCTTTCCAATATTCCATAACAGAGGTTATAATTTGGCGACGTGCGCGAGTGGACTTGGGGCCAATGGCTAGAAGTCGTTCTTTGTTTCGCTCAATGCAAGACAGTACGTGAGAAAGTGATTTTGACCCAACGAAGCAAATTGCCGTGACGAACGCATCTGTTGAGGGTAGCATAGGGTCCTCAACCCCCATCGCCCTAGCTTGCTCTTCAATAGAAGAGATTATTGGCAGAATCTCGTCATCTGCTGCTTTCTTACGGATGAGCTGCATGATTTCTGTGCCTTCGTTGGCATAGGGCGTGGCTGTTGAGGATGATGATAAGTCAACAAGTTCTAAGAGGCCCACGACAGGACTGGAGCGCATGAACTTACTATCCAATGAGTATTTGAAGTCGGGAGTATCCTTCTCCTTGCCTTCCGTGATCAAGTCTTGGTAAGGGTCTGGAAGCGTGCCTCTAATACGCTGAGCAAAGCTTAACCTGATCTCTTTGTCCAGCGCGCCGATTATAAAGGCCATCCTTGGGTGAACTGAGCAAAGTTCAAGGTCATCGATCCTTTTCCAACGGTTAGCCTCACATTCTGTCTTCTTCTATCATCATCATCATCATCATCATCATCATCATCAACAACAACAACATGATGATGATATATTCCCCCCTTTTTTGTTCTTTTGTTTTTGTTTGGGACAGGGATCTGTATTATTACGGTGGGACTGACCATTCACTCCATTTCCATGTGAACCCAAAATTGCTCAGATGGTGAGCAAACCAATCTAAGAACCGATGGCTTAAATCTAGATCAATCGTTTCCAAGCTGCGATAAAGAAAACGAATCGCACGCCCTAAGCTCGGAGCGATGGCAGCCGGTGCGATCTTACAGCACTCTGTGAGAACTGAGTGGTAGTACACAAGCTTGTGCTGCGGGGAAGGAAGTTGGAACAACTGGGAGAAAACTGCGTCCACGGCCACGTCTTCGGGCTTCCACGTCGGACGGTCTCCGGAGATATCGCGTAATCTGTCAAAGGGAGTTGCACGCTTCACGAAAGTATGCGGTGTAAAGTAACAGTCAATGTCGATGAGATACTTGGCCGTGGCAATACGGTTGAAGTCGAGGATGTTGATCGTGTCAACAAGAGCGTCACGCAGCAGTGATGACGCAATATCTGACGTTGGGGGTACGGTTTCTACCTCTTGGTTGGAGTATACGGACATGTAAACTTCAGGGAAAATCGCCCTGGATCCATTTTGTACAGGGTCGGGCACAGTTATTTGAGGGAATGCATGCTTTGTGCCGGATTCCAGGGGTTTCTGCTCTTCTTCATTGTCGCGTCCACCTTTCCACGGTCGAGGAAGACATGCGAGTTCCCAATTCCGGTTGGCTTCCTGCTGGAGTTGACTTTGAAGCAGGCTAATAACGCTTTGCGCAGTAGATGAAGTGTCATATTCCGGGCTAAATGGCTTAACCAAATCCACCAACGCATGTGGGGTCGATGCAATGATGTCGGTCTTTTCAAGAAGGGCATTTGCCTGAGCCTCATAACCTGTTATCGGAGAAGCCATTATGTATGGAATAGTGAAGAGAATTATTTTCACGAGTTCCAGTCCTAGCAACTATACATGACTTATTAGTGGGTGTGCACATAATAGATAGCGAAACGGCTCACATCTTCAGAAGAGGCTGTCTGCAGAACAACGGCACGCTCAAAAAGCTCTTCCAGGATTGGAAAGATGCCATCTCCCTCATATAATATCTGTAGGCATCCAAGAAACCGGAGAAGAAGCTTGACTTCACGCCATGCCCCGTTGTTGATGTAGTGCTGTAAGTATTCGCTCGCTTTGGTAAGGATATCGGACACAAGCTCCGATCTGTAGGCATTGGCAGCCAAGACTGTCGCTGCGATAAAGGGGATTTTCAGCGGTTGTTCTAGGGCTCTATCACGGGTCGCATTGTGTTAGCGTTCGGACAAGGGAACTAGGGCCAGTCTAAGCGTACAGGTCAACTGAGATATCAACAAAAGCCTGTCTCAGCTCCTCATCTTCATAATTATCGGCGACGCTTTTTGCAATAGTCACTACATCGTCTTCGGCTCTTCTGGCGGCCTAATGGGAAAGTGTAAGTTATGAAGTTGATATTCAAACCTCAACACCAAAGCAGGGGGATCGTACAGATTCGGCAATGGTTAATAGCTGTCTTCGGACCTTCGCAACTAAGGGTTCTTCGTATCTGCGCCTCTGGCGTCGGTCATAGTCATCGTCTTCTGTAAATTCCGCAGTAATTGTTAGGGGGAAGAGCAATCAAAAACACCACGATCCGGGGAACCAAGAGAAACGGTATCGCGGTAGATGCCATATCTTTAAATATATATATATAGAGAGTGAAAAAAAAAAATTCGCACTGACCTCTATAGCGCCTTTTGCGACCACCCTTGGGCCCGTGATGACGGCGTTCGTAGTCAACCATAGCTATCTACACCTGGGCACGTCGGTCTTTGTGCCTTCGCAGATTGAGATGAGCTAGATATTGAGTAAGACTATCAAAGCTGTATGTGATTGATAGGACACATAAGTTGCGTCCACAGATACGTTCACTGCCGGTAATGTCTATTAGAGCAAAGACCGCGCGTGCACATGCTTCTAGAAGCAAAACATTGCCAGTACCGTGAGCTCACCAAGTGTCGGGATAAGAGATGCTCCGTGCCGCTGATTATATAATATGCTAATAGTAAAGTAACATAGTTACATGCAGGAACATACATCACAACGTACCATAATTGGACCCCCTTTTAGAAATAGAATAAGAGACCAATTGGCCATTTGTATTACACAGAGACATTATTGTCCCAGTCTGAGATGTCTAAGATCAGATCTAATTCAAACTCCATCTCTTGAACTAGTTAACAAGCTATGATATCTATCGCAAACATGGAGCACTGTATTTCACCTTCTGCCTTTTGCTGTGTAACTGAATGGAGAGAGCAATATAAGGGTCAACTCGGGTTGTTCGCCCATTCACCTAGAATACAGTTGCCGATAGCAGTTTTGAGGTCTGTTGGCACTTATCTGGTCGTCGATGAACATGGCAAATAGCAACCTCCTACATCCATAGACTATCCCGACTATGGGAAGAGGTAAATACCAGAAAACTCTGAGATAAGCTTGCAATTACAGCATGAGACAGTTAATAACGGGAATGGTAGAGTCAAAACATGCAATTACAAGACTGTGGTTATACACACTAACGAATGTGATGTTCCAGAGTGTAACATAGGACTCTAATAGGGTGAAGAGGGAAGTGAGGAGAGAAGTGGCGAGGGGGAAGAGAAAGGGTGAAGTAAAAGGAAAGGAAATAGTAAACCAGTCGTCTGCTTTCGGAACTAAGAACTATGCACCAGCTTCATCGTCGAGGAACATTGTCATTCGAGCCAAACAAATGGAGCCGGTGTTATGATAAATGTGAACAATGAGTAATTTAAGGGGCGAAAAAAAGGCAAATGGGACGAGTATGAGAGTAGAAGAGAAACACAAAAGATATTGAAGGAGCAAAAATGAAGGCGAGAAAGGGAAGAAAAAGGAAGTGAAGGCACAAAAATAAGGGCATTTCTAACGCTGCAAGTCGAGGGAATTAAACCTCCAAGACCTATATTCAAAGCATGCTCACTAGCACATGATTGATGTGCATCCAAGCATAAAAATCCTCAACGATATCTGACGTATTTGTAGGATATCCATCTCTCTGCCCTTCTTCATAGGACTTGCGACATTTATAACCCCTTCGAATCGAGAGATGAAGCTATGCAGAAATGAATCCCGGAAGGCAGACTCACGCGGTAAGGGTATCACTTTTTTTCCTCCCAAGGGCTGTCTCAGACACCTCAATAACTCCAGGCTATGACATTCCATCATCTTCTTTGCATCAAACGGTCATGCCCCAATACCCGTTTCTTTTTTTTCTGTTCTGTTTTTCTTTTCTTTTCCTTAAGGGGAAAAAAAAAACTTTTCCAGCTGTGACAGAGGGTGGTACTCTTTCCCTCCAACATTTCTCCTAGTTTCTTTCCGTCCTTTTTTTTTTTCTTTTCCATTTCCTATTTACCTTTGGAATTGTCTGAAAAGTCACCCTCTCCCCACCGCAGAGAAACCAGCTCCCAGATGTCTTGCCAATGGAATAGGGTCTACAACTGAAATGACCTCTCCCAGTTTAGAACCGCCCGGTGTATCAAAGTGAACTCGTACGGCATAGCATCAGGTTCTCGCGCACACGTGCATGTGACCGTACTATGAACAACCGTGTACTTCGTAAGCATTGCACCCCTTGACTCAATCAAGACGTGCCATCATTTCATCTTTCGTTAGGGGGGTAAAGTTATCAATATCTATCCCGCGGGCTTCGAGAGCAGGGCGTGCATGAGGAGGAATAAGCCGACTGTTCATTGCCGGTGCGATAGAAAGTTCTGCTAAGCCGTTAGCCATGGTTGCTAGTAAGCATTGGAAAGAGAGAGCAGACCATGTCGAGAGAAGTCAAACAGATTAGGGAGCTCTCGAGATGGCCCATTCTGGTGTCGGGAATCAGGCAGCCGAGTGCTAGGATCCCTGAGTTCATCAAAGAATGGGTGAATCATCGCTTCAATGGCTGACAACCGCTGCGTTGGTGTGTATTCCAGCAAAGCAGAGATCAAATCAATTGCCTCATGAGGAGCTCTCCGGAAAACCTGGCAAAAATGTGTTAGAATTTTGCTCGAGAGCCCAAGGTGAAGGTAGATATACTTTGTTGAAAGGATGTGGCTTGATCTGCGGGAATTTGTGCTCCATGTAGTTGGGGTTCATAGTGCGAATCTGCTCCCGAGTGGGAGTACCAAGAACTTTAATGATCTCCACCAGTTGATCAATCCCAGATTCACCTGGGAAAAGCGGTTGCCCCAGCATTAACTCGGCCATTACACAACCAGTAGACCACACATCTGGAATCGTTAGTAACTTCACCAATGTCAAATGGATGGCACCGGGTAATTACCAATCTTCGTGGTGTAATTTGTTGCACCAAAAATTAATTCGGGTGCACGATAATAGCGAGAGCAGATATACGAAACATTGGGCTCGTTCTCAACTAAGATCTTGGCAGAGCCAAAATCACAAAGCTTCAAGATACCAGTGCTTGGGTCAAGCAAGAGGTTTTGAGGTTTGATGTCACGATGGCAGATGCCCTGCGAATGAATGTATGCCAGAGAACGAAACAATTGATATATGTAAAGCTTGACCTCCAACATGGGCATTGTAGTCTTCAACTTGTTGAAATATCGAGATGCTCGATAAACCGTTTCTGGTACGTATTCCAGAACGAGATTCAGATACACTTCGTCCTTCTACAGAGTATTGACGGCATAGTCAGCACAAAGGTATTCATTCCGCATAAGAGTGGCAACACATACCCTCTCACCATTGGAGTAATAGAAAGCCTTCAACTCTACAATGTTGGGATGGCGGACAATCCGCATTATTTGTAACTCACGGTTCTAAGGAAGCCATTGTCAGTGATACTCCACTGACAATAAGGTCAACTTTCGGCCAGCGACCACGTACCTTGAAGCGTTTGTCTTGTAGGACACGTTTAATAGCAGCGTCCTCGCCGCTGGGCATCATCTTTGTCTGAAAGACCACTCCAAACGACCCATTGCCAACGATTTTACACTGCGAGTACGAAATTTCTTTGGTCTCCCCTGTTAGTCCATCCTGGACCTTCTCACGGACGACTTCTACAAAGCGAGATTAAAAGTTCAAGTCAGTAGACAATCTCCATAATATGTGCTAGCAATTGGAATGATGGTGATCACTTACCACCCATGCGCAAACTCGAGAATACCCCAGGCCGGTTCTGTGACATCACGGGCGTTTTGTGGGGTTCGCACAAGGCGGCAAGTTGGGCAGCGCTATAGAAGATATGGAGGACTGCAGTTTAACAGCGGATGGCGGCAATAGACGCAGACGTAGGGTCAAACGTAAGGTGTTTGATCCGTCTTGAGCAGACTGTAATCGGTGGAGCACTGGCTAAGAGGGGTGCTCTGGATGGGCGGAATATCCGAACGGTGGGTGTTGAGTGGAGGTGTCCGTGAGATGGAAGGTTGAGAAACGGACGGGCGAATAGCAGGAGGGAAGGCTTAAACCAGTAGGCGGATCGAGTGCCAAGAGTGCGCACCAGAGCAGGGAAAGCCCCCCAGAAGTTCGTAGAGGGAATAGCAAACCTCGTGGCAGTCGACCAAGAGAAAGGGGATGAAAATAATATTGCAGCTATGCAAGAGGTTTAGAAAGAAATAAAAAAAAAAAGGAAATGGTGAAAGTGAAAAGTGGGAAAGGGAAAAGGGAAAAAAAATTTGGAAAAAAACTTTTGGTGAAGTGATTTACGTCTCACCACTGAGGCAGGAGAATGGTGGTTGTAGTAGGAGGATAAGGAGCAGTAGGTAGGATGGTCGGAGAGGGTGGAAGAGAGGAGGGCGAGCAGGTGACGTTGATGGAGCGACAAAGCCCGAACACGCGAGGGCTGCAGGAACGCGGGAATAAAGCGCCGGGAGAGGAGAGGAAAAGGGTAAGGAACTCACGAGCCAACCCCGATCGAACAAATGAATCCAAAGATGGGGAAATTATCACCCAAAAAGAGAAAATGAAAAAGAAAGAACAAGGACAATGGAGGCAATAGATAAAAAAAAATTGAGGGGTGAGGAACCAGTGCGGTACAGCAGACTGTAAAGCTAAACAAATCACTACTCCATAGAAATAAGTAAATTATTGACTTCTTTAGCAGCACTAAAAGATAATGACCAAGTAAACTTGGAAAGGAAAAGATCATAAACAGCACCTGTCCTAATATCTGGCTGTACAGAATACTATGTATGTATGTATTAGTGGTAAGATCCAGAAAACCAATGTTTTGGGTTTTTGGTGAGGGGCGGGAGTAGATAGTTTTAGGTAGTCCACCTTGCTAGGACAGGCTGGGCAATGAGCACGAAGCTGTGGCAGTGTGTGGAGGAAGGCAAGAAGATTGTGGATGATGGCTGGGATTATTGGTACAAAACAACTCAAAGAATTTCTCTTTATAGCTTCCGGCATAAGAACAATATCTTGTACACAATAGTGTTAGTTCTTGAAATAATTATTAAACCTATCTGATACACCAGTTGCCTGTCATTTGAGAGAGGAAAAATGCTCTCTCTACATACACTGTATTTCGTTACAGAGGGTATTCAAGCCAAAAATAAAGGAGGGGTCCCAAGTAATATATGTACCAATGCAGCATGTTTAATTACATACAATACCCAAGTGCAGTCAAATCACATGACACCATTTGGTAGTTACTGTAATATCAGTAATTAGCTGGTACCAGTGCACCTAGTCGAAGCAAAGCAGTACATATGTGCTTAAAAATCTATTGAGCACTGAGATCAATATAGGGGAAAATGGATATGTTTAAGATGGTATACAATTCATTAGGACAGAAACTGAGAGTTGTACTTCATAGACTTGGGTGGATTTCATGATGACGGGGGTTGCGCTTATGTGGAGCAACTGCCCAAGGTTGGGCGCAAGGATGGGCCAAAACGGGGAGAAATACCAGATGACCCTCTTCTGGGGCTCGGCTTGTTACAGTATATTCGCCTCTAGTTGAGCTTTGTTCAACCTGTATGGTCACCATGACTTGACAGCTCTTGAACTCTTAGTCAGATAAACCATTCTGATGTATATAAATATCCACTCCATGGCATTTATCTATGTATTGCTGAGGATTTGTGCTGTCTACAAATCTTTATATAACAATACATTGCAGATTTGGTATCTATATAAATACTGAAAACTATTCTTGATCTGTACTCTGTACTAGAATACTGATTCCCCTAAATATATGGTATTTTTTTTATTAAGTTGTTAATAGCTCTAGTGACAAGGCAAACAGCAATACTAAGTGTTTGGTCCGCAAGTGTCAAGTGACCAGCTGTGATTTTCACTGGAACTATTCTTATTGGCTATACACAGTGCCTCCTACGTATGCAGAGTATGTACTAGTACTACTAGTTACCAGATCACATATACTGTACCAGACCGCTGTATTTATAACCAGGGATCTAGATCTTAAATTTCTTCATTCTACTTCTTGCTTTTCCCTCTTTCCCCCCAACAACCCCTCCTTCTGGAACTATGGAGGTAACTGGGAGGCTTACGGAGTAGGTTCCCAACTAAGATAGTTTCCATATTTAACACAGTTGTGGCCAGAGAATGCGTATGGCAGAGCTTCGAGGTTACGCCACACTCTATGTACCTTTTAAGTAGGGGATACAGAGTACTCCATAGTAGGACATGTTACCTAGTGGTATGTGTCAGGTGTTCAGGAGCTTTGACCAAGCTTGGTGCAGCTCTTAGGACAATACAGCCAACCACGACTTCCATCAAGAGGGAGGTCGGCTGGACGCCGTCAATGTAAGGTAGTTGATTACCTAGTTAGTTAAGACACTAGTATAACAGTGACTAATCAATCTCGATGAAATACTCTGTTGTGGTCATTATTAGAGAGTACCAAGCTTGTTATGTTGTGCCTACTCTGGGTAGTAAAATTCTTGGCACTAGATCCTGGAAAGCATGGATGAAAGTCTATTGAGTATCAACAGAAATAACGAATAGATTTCAAAGCACAACATACTTTTTCGTAGCCAAATTTTAATATGGTACCTGTCCGGTTCTAAGTTGTGCTACTCCTAGGCCTAACTTCCCCATGGCTGCGGTTGACTGCATGCCTCCTTTGCTAGGAACTTACCCCACAGAAACATGGGTGGTCTTAAGGGTCATGTCAAGGGGTTCTCAAATAGTATCAAAACCCCAGATGATCATTGAAAGGATGTCCGCCTACTATATACAGTTAGAACTAATCGTTAAATATATTTATTCATCCCAATACCTCCAATTGTATGTACTAGACCCAATCTCAGGAGAGACTATACCTAGGTATATCTGTTGACCACATCACAGTCAATAATTTGTTCTTTTACACCCCTTGCATAGATATTACGCATTATAAATCTATCGACCTTCGCTCATACACTAAATATGCCCTGCTATAGCCAATTACTGGACTCAGCTTTCCCAGTAGGAAGTTGAAGCGTGCGGAACTTGTATTTAGGTGGTATTTCGGTCTTGTTGCTGAGACCGTGACCAGATATTCTATTTCCTTTCCATTGTTATTGTCGGGTCACTCCACCTGGCACCTGGCAGTCTCAGGCGATTACTCTATTCAGAACTACAAAGTCAAAACTTACAGTAAATGATGCTTAACTTCTGCATTTCCCATTCCCTGCTCATATTGTACCAGTTGGAATTTATCTCTAGAAAATGCTTCAAAATAACCTAGCAGAGATACCACTGATGCAGTGATGCCAGCATAGCATGCCCTATAGAGATGTAAAACTTGTGCAAATATATTGACAGTAGCCACCAAAAACAAAGCCAGCCATATCATCCTCAAAACTTCACTTGTATCTTAGTGTATACTTAAGTCAAGGGAGGCTCAGGGGGGAGTGATATTAATATATGGATTATTTAGAACAGTGCCTGGTTATATACATATGATCCATTGTGAATGGGCTATGAAATCCTATAATTGTAGAAACTTGAAACTGGCTGTCATAAAATTAAAAAGGAGGCACAGGTAGTAGGAATTACAAATACAGTACCAAAATATTTATTATAACACTGGACGCAGTGGCTAATTGCCCTTGCCCCACTTCTGTGGCTGTCTTGATTACGGAGTACACAGTATGGAGAGAATCCACCTACTAGTAGTGCTCTAAAGGATTCTTCTTACTACAAGCATACTTAGTAGAGTAGTACAATGATTCGATTCACCTTGTCTTTTGGAATGCCATTATCCCAGATAATACAGAAGCCAAATTTGTAAGTTTGCATCAGTACTATAGAGCGCTCTGTAACAATATCAAGCACGTGAACAATTATAGAAATGATGTATGTATTGGATAGGGCTATTATCTTTAACAAGATATGAAACTAGTCCACTGGAAATTGTTTTAGTAATTTCATTCAAAACAATTTATTGTTCCTTGGTACTCAAGGCCGTCCACCTTCAGTCTCTAACCCAATCAGTGTATTCATTGCTTGGTCTGCGGAACACTGAGTGGCCAGAAACTCAGCAGGTCAGTGGTCCATAGAGATGTCTCAGGTGACTAACTGGTAGGTAAGGTAATCTTCGAATTTGGGTAAAAATCAAAAATCAGAAATAGCATTACCACCTATGTTACAGATTTTTCATTTTGCACCTGGTACCTACTCCTGCAAATACTCGCCCATTTATATTTATTGATATTTGCTTTCTTTTTCAAGTTTCTTATCTACAGTCGCATGTTAGTCTTCCTCTCTGTTTCTATAGGCTACAGCTCTCAAGATGAAGTACATCCTTTAACTATAAGTTCTATAATTATAGTCCTTGACAAGAGGGCGTCTAGTAAGACAAAAGTACAAGTCAATATTTATAATCAGTGCTTAATCTTGAGTTGTAGTATAGTTTATAATATATAGTTGAACAAGTACTTGCCTATCTCCTGTTGTAGATACAGAGCAGTGCAGCAGCGCACTAGTCACGCAAAGTAAAAGGCACAGTGTAACAAAGAACACTGACTAGGTTTTCTATGTGTGCCCTATATTACTGAGTAAGCTTGGCAGTAGTCACTGGTTAAGTAGTATCTGGAACCTGGATGGGTATTTGAGCAACTTTGGGTCAATTGGTAGCACAAAAAACTGAACACAAGATACAACATTACAGGGTTTTCTATCTAGTACTAAAATAGCCTAGTGGGGCTTAGAATAGCAGGTGCCAGGACTCAGGCTTGTAATAGATTATGAAAGTAATGGCGTCTTTTCTTCCATTTCTCCTTATTTACTGGGGGGAGATCAATTTTTTTGTAAGATCGAAGATAAACTATGCAACCGGTACGTCATCATATAAATCTCTAGATTCTGTACCTTCTGGAGAAATATATTATATATACCATGGGTCTGTGGATCTAATGCCATGGAATGAATGCACTGTGTATGATAGGAGTAGGATACATGGTTATATGCCTCCAGATGAATAATATGGCGGTTATGCGCATATCTAGGACATATAAGAGAGCATATATCTCTTTCTATCCTTTTGTCGGCTCGATATAATATGGGCTCAAGACTAGAAGCAGATACGCTTATATATATCTCTACATGTCTAAGTAAATGCTGATCAAAAGTGCATCAGGTTACAATAAGTACGAAGTATCAACTATCTTTTCCTGCAGAGTTATTAGGTGACTGTTGCTATGTTGCTCTCAATCGGGATAACTAATCAAGAAGGTGATTGTTGGAAATATCATTGATATAAGAAGATAGCTCAATTCTATTCTCTGTAATACGAAAAGAAAACCGTTGGACTAGCTTATTACTTCGAAGAAACAAAATATGTACCGGGTGGGTATTTACTCCAGTCTCAAGACCTGATGTCATAGTGGATCAACCGAACCAACGACATATGTATGTACCACCAAAGACAACATCGACTACACAGTATTAACTCCTACGTACGGAGTAGAGACCTCATCCCCCCGCTTTCCGTTTTCCAACCCGAAAATTGCCACCCTCTAGAAAAGCCCAGCGCGAATTTCTCGCTGGATGTCATAAGAACATATTGTAATAAACGCTGTAGCAAATCATAATTTCTGTTTGTGAGCCTGGACATGCCAAGTGTGTAATTAGGGTTTTAATGGTCGTACTAACCAGTCGCTGTCATAGCCGAAATCGCCGGCATAACTCTATTGTGGGTCTTAAAACGAACATTTAGTACTGTATCCTGAGTACTGTATTCTGTGCACGGTTCACCCTGTACTCCGTAAGTTGCGCTCTCCTAAAACTTACCTCCTAGGTTTTGGGTTCTACTTCTCCAATTTCTCGGTCTCCTGGACTCTGGGGGCTCGAATTGTTCGTTCAGTGTTGTCAGTGGTTAGAAAGCATATGGGGAACAACCAGCGGGCTCTATTACCACCTAGAAAATGTACTACTACCTAGTAACCAGAGGACGATTACCTTCAACGTACTCCGTAGAGGTTCTGGATCTGCGAAGTGCTCACTGAGGTATCCACCTAGTAGTTACAAAACCATCGCGTCCTGGTATTGCCCACGAGCGGTAGATTCTCCGTGCGGGTAGGCCAATGGGTATTCATAGGTAGTAGGTACTGACTTTTATCTCCTGGGCCACTACTACTACGACTATTACTACTACTAGGGGGGTACGAGATACTATCTAGAAGCATGAACCTAAAGTAGTAGAGTCGATAGTTGGGCTTGGACCCTGCCTTAGTACTACTAGTAGTACATTGAGTATATTGCTACATTGCATCGGGGACAGCAAGACACTGGATACAAAATTAATCGCCGAACGTGCTGTACAAATCAGCGACTCCGTAGATACTGGACTTCACCATGACGTGGTTTCTACAGGTATCTACCACTATGTAGCAGATTACTTTAAAACCCCTTCTTGTCCCACTGTGAGCACCTGATTCCTCAGACCCGGAGAACGCGATGCCACATTATTATCGCAGCGATATTTTATAAGGAATAAACTGATTTTACATTGCCCATCTATTATGCATAAACAACAGCATCCCGCAAGTGTTCTCATATATGCGTCGCAGTCCTGGTGGTTAGTCAATAGCCTGTGGGAAGAAACAGGGTAGTAGTAAAACATGATGTGGGTTGACAGTCATAGCCGGATCCATCGGAGGAAAGTACAAAAGTGAAAGGTTAAAAAAAGATTTCAAGTAAATAGAAAGTGATTCTATACAAAATGTGGTTCCGTGGCGCCAAACGACTGCGTCTCGAAATAACCCACCGCATCCGAGGGGATAAACTCCTTAGGAGGTGACACACCATCTTCCGAGCAAGACACAGGGGGAGTGAAGAGCTATTAAAACAAACGACGAAAAGAAAACCAGTTGGATGGAAGACGTGGAGCAAAAATTCCATTCTTCCACCATCAGGTGGGCTGTATTAATCCAACTATGTATGGAAAGAGCCTAGAAAGGTGGAGGAACCATGCCCTGGGCTTCAATCTTCTCTTGCTGCTCCATCAGTTCCTCGCCAGCGATCTCAAGGGACACAGCAAGACCGAGCTTAGCCGATTGCTAAAAATAAAACATATTAGATATTGAACTCCGGCAGGCAGTCGAGTGTTGTAAAGAAAGGCAACTCACCTTAGCCTGATCAATCTCACCGGCGAACGTAAGAGAGATGGGCATTGCTATCCGCTTCTCAAGCAGGCAGCTAACCTTTCCGGCGCTGTCGACCTGAGCTCGGAAAGTGGATGCTCGGAAGTCGTACTTGGCACCGATGGCAGTAGTGCCATCTCTGCTGGGACCGCCCATCATAGCTGCGGCTGCGTTGGGCGCAAACTGCAAGTTCATATCAACACCGGCCTCAACACGCTCAGAGAGTTTCTTCCAGTAAGATGCTGTGAAGACTCCTTGAGCCTGGAGCTGGGCACTGGCGATCCAGTCATTGGCCTTGTACCGGGCGCTATAGGATATCGCAGTTTCTGGGCGAGTGTTCATAGCCTGGCGCTGCCAGATAGCCTCGAATCCAAGAGCCAGGCTGGGGGTAACGGACTGGAGATAGCTTCCGACAAAGATGCCAGTAAGACCCCCATCCAAGAAGGATGGGTTGAAGGCCTTGATCGAGGCTGAGAAGTCATCGCCAGTGTAGTCATTATCGATCTGCATAAGACCCTGGCTGGCGCCAGCCATGATCTGGGTGTTGGTCTTGGTGACCAGCTTTGGGCTCCAACGATAGTTGCCGACAGCGGCGAGTGCGCCGTCGCTTCCGAAGTTACCTTGCATGAAAACCTTTATCCAGATCATACACTCAGCATCCATAGTAAAGAGTATAGGCACGGAGAAGGGGAATGCAGAGTGACAGTATAGCCTACCTTTGGACTTCCATACATGGCCGAGAAGGCATAGGGAGGCAGGTTCCCCGACGAGCCCATGGAGAATGCATGCGACACACGAAACAGAGGAGACATGCCAAAGACCTTCGTTAGGTCTGCACGGAGACCCGAGAACATAAAATTGGACAGCAAGACCTCCTTTTGCACTTCCCTAGCGATGTTATCCACAGTTCCGGGATTTGGCAGACCGAGAGCCGCCCTTCGCTCCGAGAAAGAAGTGTATGCATCCTTTATGACAGCAGCGACGGAATTATCCGTGAGATAGGAAGGAGAAGCTAGGTATTCGGCCATTGTGACTAATTGGAAAGGATTAATGGCCGTTCAGAGAGAAAAGCAATGATGGACACGAGTGGTCGTCGCGCGGGCCTGAGAAAATGGTTGATGAAAACAAGGAAGGATTTGAGACCAGCCCTTTACTTGAAATTCAAGTATATAAAAGCAACTGCAACAGTTGCAAATCGACCGCTATAGGGCGGGCTATGTCTGGCCTGCTCTGGTCGAGTAAGGATTTGAGGAAGAAAGATGTCAGGGCAGGTTTGACTGACTAGGTATTGATGATTCCGTCGCTTTTGGAACTGAAAAAAGTCACTTTTGCTTTTCCGCCCGGTTGCACCTTTGGTATCTCCGGACAGCCGAAATGCACTAGCCTCTTTCGGGCCTTCTCGGGATAGAAGCTTGGGATGAGCAAGTCGCAATAGATAGGTATACTAGTAGAAGCTCCAATCGTCCAAGTAGAGCTCTAGATTCTAAATGTTTCGTTTTGACCCTCGTGTAGCTAATGCCTAGAGCTTCAGGAAAGATCTGAGAAGTATCGACCACTCCTATCTAATTGTGCTCGGCGGTCAAAACTGACTTAGTTCGGTGTTGAATCGGGTACAGTACATACCTCCGTCGCCGAAAATCACAAGGTTCACTGCTTGGACCAACGTACTCGTCCAACACTTTCTCACGCATAACCCCATTACTTTAGCTCCTTGAGTCTTTCTCGCTCCTCTTTTATCTCCTTCTTACGTGTTTTCGAATTTCGATCATTTACACTCTTCTAAACCACCGTTTTATATTGCGGTTGCCTGCTACCTCACTGGACCTCGGACCCATTAATCCCCTCTGTACTATGGACACCCTATTGTAAGCTATGTTCTGAAGCCCTTCCAATCGCCTATTCCTTCTGTGCACAGTTGCTCTTGATAGTATCACGGAAGTGACTACTACTCGGGGAATTGCTCCTCAAGATCAGAAACTGATACACGGGTTTATTGTAATATGAGTTCATTCACATTGACATCAGGCTAGAACTGCGGATATTGTTGCTAACTCCCCGCGATTCCGGCGAAAGTCGTCAACATTTGTTGATGCAATTCATGATCTGCCCGAAAAGGCCGATTTAGCACCGGCTCAGTTGTATAGTACAGAGTCTGGCCGACTTTTCCACTCGGGCCGGATTGTCATTATTACTGTGGGCTTACCAGCGAGGGGCAAGACGTTCGTTTACCAAAAACCCGCCGTATTTATACTAGCGCCATTACTGACCTATCGCGCCAATCTTAGACATATATCGGTAGCTCTGGCGCGCTATCTTCGGTGGTGCGTTGTGTTATTATCGTCGACTTCTTCTGTTTGAGCTGATTGCGTCGCAGGTTGGGCGTTAAGACCAGGATCTTCCACCTTGGAGACTACAGGCGTGCTACTATCCCAGTTGGTCAGGATATCCCTGATGATTACTTCTTTGTTAACGGTTAGTGAACTACCCACTGAGCCGTTTGTACTACTCAGTAGCTGGGCGACTCATGTTAACTTACGTCATTCTTAATTAGCATCTGCTTCCTCCGTACTTTTGAGACAAAAAATTGTAAAACGGTGCCGGGAAGACATATATCAATTTCTGAACGATGAAAATGGCCAGATAGCAATATATGATGCTGTGAACCCCTTAGCTTCGGGACGACGATCGCTTGCGAAGGAGTTCGCTAAGCATGATATTGAGGTATGCAAATGCTCATCCCTTGTGACCATGCATGTACAGCGCTTACGAGTTTCCGCGGATAAGACCCTCTTTATTGAGTCCTGGTGCGATGATGAGCGCATTATCGAAGAGAATGTCCTTCGTGTAAAAATATCTTCACCTGACGTGAGTACCAGCTCCTTCCCAGCGGCAGTCGATGCTTTGAACCCAACGATTGATATTTAGTAGTATGTAGGCTGGACCTCGGAGGAGGCAGTGAAGCACTATTTGACCCGTATAAACGCTCGGATCCCTCAATTCCAGACGATGGAGGAAAAAGATCTGAATTATATCAAGGTGATAGCGCTTCGTGGTTAGCCTTGAGTTGTATACTAACCTGAAACAGATGATCAATGCTGGCGAAAGGCTGATTGTTAACAATCGAAGTTTTGGTTATCTTTCCCATCGGATCGTTTTTTATCTTCTCAACCTTCACATAAAATCTAGACATACATATTTCGCACGGGTGGGTGGATACTTTGCAGTCTTGCATCATTCATATCTTGTTCGGTGTCTGACAAATATATCATCAGGCCGGTGTTTCCCTGGAAGCGGACTCTTACAAAGCCGATGCTTCCTTGTCAGAACAAGGAGAGGACTATGCTAAGAAAATGACTGAATGTCTATTGAGGCACAGAGAGTCTGAGAAGCAAGCAACAATCGACCAAGGAGAGACAGACTATGAGTTGAAACCTTTGACAGTTTGGACTTCCACCAGGCGTAGGACAATCGAAACTGCAAAGTATCTTCACGAGACAGGATACAAAGTCCGACAGAGATCACAACTGAGCCAGTTGAACCCAGGTGTTTGCGAAAAGATGTCAGAAAAAAAGATTCGCGAGGAATATCCAGACGAGGTGGCAAAGCATGAATTGGACCCTTATCACCATAGGTACCCTCGGGCAGAGGTAGGTACTCTTTTTCTCGTTGATATGATGATGGCTGCTGACCGAGTTGCACTATAACAGTCGTATCACGACCTTGCTGTGCGCCTTGAGCCTATAATATTGGAGCTTGAACGTGAGCAGAATGACCTCCTCATTATTGCACATGAAAGTGTCCTAAGGGTTCTATACGGCTATCTTATGGCATGCAATGCGGCGGATATTCCATTCCTAGAGTTCCCCCGAGACGAGATAATTGAGGTATGATTGCAACGAGTCGAACTATTGAACATGTTACTGACTACTTTCCTCAGATCATCCCGGAGAGCTACCAAAATGAGGCTCGCAGGATCCATATTCCGGACCTCCCCAAGGAAATCATCCCTGGCTCACCCCAAGACATCAAAATACCCGTGCCCCCCAGTGGGGTCACAACCCCTTTGGTTGGAGGATTAAGTAGTCCACAAGAAGGGTTTTCGACGCCACAAAGCGGACTTCGGACCCCTCGGGAGCCTGAGAGAATATCCCAGCAGCATGTTGAGGATGTCGTTTAATCCTATGCTAGTACAGCCGGGTTTTGAAGAGCAGCGAACATAGTCACTACCCTGATCCTGTCATCTTGTGGCATCAATGGTGGTGATTGAGAACATAGATTATAAGAACAGTTATCCTCCATGTAGCGTAGAAACGAAGACAATGTTGTCGCCAGGTTGGAGCTCATAGTTTTCTTCGCCCTCCAGTTCCCAGTCTGCATCGTTGATGAGGACAAGGATACCAGGACGCCTAGTATATACCATTAGCGCAGTTCCCTAGTGTGACTCCATGGAAAACGTACACATTGCCCTCCAATATGAACAATTCCTTTCTTTCGTCCTTCATCACATTTTCGACAAGGTATTCGAGGAGGAAGCTTATTCTCGGCCGGCCACCGTCACTCAGCTGTGCAGGTAATGTGACACCATGCTTGCGCTCATTGGCGAAAAGCATTTCAAGGCCACCACTATATGATATCAGGAAGTTAGTAACTCAATCCACGAAGGTAATAAATAGCCGGGGACCGAGAGGGGGGGGGGAATGAACGTGAACTCAACGGTGACAGAGAAGGAACCAGGAGCCTCCACTCTCGCGCTCTCAAGACTAATCTCTGTGTCGGTGGCCATGTTGAAATATTATGCTGGGATGCTTGACTTTAGCCCTGTTGGAGTGTACAGTATGTACTGGACGTGAAGGCTCAGCTGTGGTGGGAAGGAACAGGGGTTTTCCAGTGTTGTGAGCCGTCGTCCTTATCGATAAGCGTCAAAGGGTTCGCAGCACAAAAGTCATTCTGTGATGTCCTCCAGCATTTGCGACAACCCTTCCTTTTATATCTCTGTCTCCACGCCACGAAATACGCCGAAAATATACTCTATAGGCATTACACCCCAAAAGTTCAAGCCCATGGTATCCATCACAAGCGATTATATCAGCGTCGGCGGAAATAGGCATCCCGCCGCCGCCGACTGGGATGTTCAGTCCGGGGTGCTTGCCTTTGGTGCAGACAACAATGTGGCTTTGTGGGACCCTAAGGTACGGATAATTGCGTAGATAATGCTTGTGTTTGGTACCTGCTGCTTTTATCAAGGATGTTGGCTAAACATCTAACTTCGCGCGCAGGATAAGTTTCAGTGTGGGGTCTACTCTCTTCTTGTCGGTCATACCGACAAGGTCAATGCTGTTAAATTTTGTACATGTCCCACTACGAGCACAAAATTCCTTGTCACTGCCTCTGCCGATCACACAGTCCGGATATGGCAAGCTGTAACAGGTACCCGTCTCCAATTCAAGCATGCGCAAACTCTAGAAGGTCATACAAGCTCGATAAACACAATCGCTGTCTGTAATGGAGCGGGTCTCGTTGCATCGGGGGCGGCAGATGGAAGTGTTAAAATTTGGAGGATAACGTTCCAGGACGAAGGAGCTAAGAGCGAGCTACTCACAACCATAGTTATGAAACCACGCTTTTTCCCTCTGGCATTGGCACTCAAGTCGCTCCAGGCAGATGGACCCATGATATTGGCAGTCGCAGGTACTACAAATATCGTACATATTTACATCCTTGAAGACCTCCTCGGTGATACTAGTTTCAGGCTTGCTGCTGTGCTATCTGGTCACGAGGCTTGGGTGCGCTCTCTGTCGTTCACGCGGGATAAGCAGAGCAAAACAGGAGACATCCTGCTCGCATCTGCTAGTCAGGACAAGTATATTCGTCTCTGGCGAATTCAACGCGGGGAGGTTACCCTTGCAGCGCCGGCAGGAGACGAGGATCCCGTGCTAGGCGAACTCGAACCGACATTATCAAACAAAGCTCATCAATTTAATGCAGCGGGGTCGAAGTACTCTGTTACCTTTGAAGCTCTTCTGTTCGGAAATGAGGACTGGATTTACACGACTACATGGAACCCCAACCCCGAACGTCAACAGCTTCTCTCTGCTTCTGCGGATAATACGTTGACCATCTGGGAACAAGATACCGTCTCGGGAGTTTGGGTTTCGGCTGAAAGAATGGGGGAAATTAGTGTTCAAAAAGGGTCTACTACAGCTACAGGTAGCACTGGTGGGTTCTGGATTGGCCTCTGGTCACCGGACGGTAACCAAGTAGTAAGCCTTGGGCGAACAGGCAGCTGGAGGGCATGGAGCTATGATGCAGATGCGGACGTCTGGGTGCAGACACTGGGCATATCGGGACATGTGCGCTCGGTTAATGGTGTACGGTGGGAACCGTCTGGGGGCTATTTATTGTCTACCAGTGCAGACCAGACGACTCGGCTTCATGCACAGTGGCTACGAGATGGAAAACAGTCGTGGCATGAGTTCTCAAGGCCACAGATTCACGGTTATGATCTGAACTGTGTCGATACATTGGGACCTGCGCGCTTCGTTTCCGGCGCAGATGAGAAGCTTTTGCGGGTGTTCAACGAGCCCAAACCGATTGCTAAGTTACTAGAGAAACTTTCTGCATTCAAGCAATTAGCAGAGGGAGAACTGCCAGATACGGCTCAGATCCCAGTTTTGGGTCTCTCAAACCAATCGATGGGAGAAGCTCCAATGGGCGAGGGAGAAGGGGAGGAGGGAAATGCCACCAATATTGGCCAAGCCCAGGCAAATCAGACAATACTCTCGGATTCGAATCAGCCACCCTTAGAAGATCAGCTAGCGCGTTACACATTATGGCCAGAGCACGAAAAACTCTACGGTCATGGCTATGAAATTTCGGCTGTGGCCGTCAGCCATGACTGCACGCTCATTGCTACGGCCTGTAAGGCGAGCTCAATAGATCATGCAGTGGTTCGTCTCTATGATACATCGGACTGGCATGAAATACGGCCTTCCCTTGCAGCCCATTCTTTGACTATTACAAGTCTTTCATTTTCTCGCGATGACCAGTACCTTCTGAGTGTTGGGCGAGACCGGCAGTGGGCAGTTTACAGCCGCAGTGAACAAGACCGATCTGCGTTCTCACTCATAGAATCTCACCCTAAGGGCCATTCAAGAATGATCTTGGACGCCGCTTGGGCCCCTGTACCGGATATCCACACCTTCGCCACAGCTGGTCGCGATAAGTTAGTGAAAATCTGGCAAATTAGCAAAGGGTCCTTTGTATGCAAAACAACAGTCACACTGAAGAGCTCCGTTACTGCAATATCGTTCTTCCCGAAGGTGCAGGCGAATTCACTCTTCCTCGCGACAGGCGAGGATAGCGGCGAATTGTCGTTATACAGAATCGCAGTTGACAGCCTGGAGGCAACCCATCTGGGCAATATCGACAGGCTGATATCCCCATCCAAGGCGATCACACAGCTCGCATGGCGACCTTCCGCGAAATATGATACCAGCCAAGACGAATATAGTCTCAAGCTTGCCGTTGCAAGTGAAGATACCTCAACGCGTATATATTCTATTTCCAGCATGGTTTCATGAGATGTAACATGATTCATATATATACATGCAACGCAAAGATTATTGGTGACATCTATTCTTGTTGAAGGAATTATCGAATGTTGAAGGTATCCGCTGGAGTTGATCCTCATATTTCAATGCAGTGAAGCCCTTTCCATGCATGCCACGCCATGGTAAAAGTAAATATTTTTGAATGAGCCGCAAAAATAAATAATGATAAATAAGTAAACAGATAAACTGAGAAGAAAGAAAACAGCAAAGGGCGAAAAGGAGATGAATAGGGAGAGGGTCTAAGCCAGAACGAGACTGATAGGATTAGAGTCATTGGTTCAATTCCTTTTTTCAAGGCCATATCCCCCCATCCCATCAAACGACTCGTAGGTCTTGGCTTGGCCATGCCGCCCATTTCTAGGACCTCTGGCCTTGAGATCTTCCTTGAGCCACTTTAGAACGAGCTCTCCAAGCTGGCTATTTTCGGATGTTTCAGGCACTTCTTTCTGGAACTTTTCAATTGGGCCCCACTGCTTGACATTACCAAGATTCATGTGCACCAAATGTGTTGGCCATTGAGACAAATTGTCCAAGATGTGTGTCGCATACACTATGGTGCAAGGTCTAGTTTCGGTCTCGCGCTTTAGAAAAGAGAGGAAATTATGGCGGGATAGCAGGTCCAGGTCAACGGTGATTTCATCGAGGAGTAGGACTTGCCAGGGTCGGAGCAGACCCATGGCCAACTGGACGCGGCGCCGCTCTCCATCAGACACAGCATGCATGCGCCACCGCAAGTCAATATCGAGAATATCTACAAGCTCGTCCCTCCGCTCGGGATAGGCATTCCCGCCCACAGAAGCCAGTAGTGTAGGAACGTCGATGTCCGTCCGGACAATATTGTTAAGAACCCACTCGACGCCTAGATAAGTCACACCTTCCAGACCCTCCTTGAAGGGGTCCTTGCCGCCGACGGTGATTGTGTCGTCGGGAGCGAGACGCTTGCCCGCGAGCAACCGTAGAAGGGTGGTTTTTCCCGCTCCATTGGCTACCGTTGACGTTAGCCATTGGAGAAACCATAATCAATGGCGGGCCGAAACAATGCGCTTACCTCCGATGAGTACAGTTCGACTTCCGGCTGGTAAGTCGAGGCTTACACCTGCCAGGCCGGATGAACCATCCTGAAATTGATATGACAGATTTTTAACCCGGATTGACGGTATGTTGGCCATGGCGGCGGAGTGAAAGAGAACGAGAGAGAGAGAGAGAGAGAGAGCAATGAGGAATCTGTGGCTCGTTCCCAGCAACGAAATCTAAGCAAGGGGATCGGAGGGGCTGAAAGACGACGTTGGGTCACTACTACTTCTACGGAGTACTTTATTTTGATAATATGATTACTACTCCGTAAAATGATGAGATCAGATTAAACCTGCCTGACGGCTCCGCTTTGCCCGATAAGGTTAACGCCCTCCTCGAGGTATCCGCCAGTCCAATCTTTTCCCCTCATTCCGACCTTGATGGTTTTTTTTTTTTTCTTTTTGTCAGTAAAAGACGTCTCTACGATCCCCAGTTGGCGTGATATCGCTGCCGTAATTTTGTCGAGCAAGGGGACTAGCCGGAGACAAAAATGGTTTTTTGTCTCCTCTCATGCGCCCTTTTCTCCGGTACCCTTTCTTTGCTAGACGTCCGCCCAACATGGAGCCCCTCATAGCCATAGTCGGTGCCACGGGTACTGGCAAGTCCAAGGTGGGTGATCGCATTGCTGATGATCATCTATGAATCTCGATTGCTAATGACTGCAGATAGCTTGCAGTGGACCTGGCTACTCGTTTCAACGGTGAGATTATTAACGGAGATGCGATGCAAATGTACCGCGGCCTCCCCATCATCACAAATCAAATACCAATGGATGAACGGAACAATATCCCACATCATCTAATCAACTGCATCGAGTTGGATGAAGAACCATGGCGCATAGGATTGTTCAAGAGTGAATGCCTTCGAATCATTAAGGACATCCACTCTAGAGGGAAGCTCCCGATCCTGGTGGGCGGAACTCACTACTATACACAAGCTGTGTTGTTTAAAGACCAGCTAGTCGGGGAGGGATCGGACGAGATTCAGGGATCAGGTGCACGCTCCGACGGAGAGGCCGAGGAATCGTCGACAAAATGGCCAATTCTCGATGCCCCGACAGACGTGGTGTTACAGAAATTAAGAGAGGTTGACCCGGTCATGGCTGATCGATGGCATCCAAACGACACGCGAAAAATCCGTCGTTCCTTGGAGATCTACTTTCAGACGGGACGTCCTGCATCGGAAGTTTACGCAGATCAAAAACGCCTGAAGCAGGCGGCTCTGGCCAACGGTGATCCTTCTGCGGGCGAGGGCCAGTTACGGTTTCCGATGATGGTTTTCTGGATTCATTCAGAGAGGGAGGCTCTTATTGCTCGACTTGATAAACGAGTGGATGTGATGATCGAGCAAGGTCTGATGTCTGAAGCACAGAGGATGTCAGACTATATCCGAGAAAGGAGGACACAAGGCTGTAGCATCGATCCGACACGGGGCGTTTGGGTGGCCATTGGGTTTAAGGAACTAGCGCCTTATTTTGAAGCCCTACACAAGAGATCCCTAAGCGGTGACGAATTGGAATCCCTGAAAGAATCTTGTATCGAGTCTATCAAGATTGCCACCCGTCAGTATTCGGCCTCGCAAGTCAAATGGATTCGAAACAAGCTATGGAACACCCTTGCAGAGACCGGTATGGCGCATCGCCTTTACCTTCTAGATAGCACAAACGTGGAAAATTGGGGGAGTTGCATCACGGAGCCGTCCGAGCTCTTAACCCAGGCCTTACTCAAAGACGAATCTGCCCCGGACCCAAAGTCACTCTCAGAGTTAGCAAAAACCATCCTGGGCGCAAAAGAATCTCAGTCGCAAAAGGGCCCAGGTTTCGCGGCGAAATGTTTCACCTGCGACGTTTGCCGCAAAACAATGGTAAATGAAGAGCAGTGGAACATCCATCTCAATGGACATAGCCATAAACGAGTTCTCAAGGCTATGGCCAAAAGAGCGGAACGGGAGAAATCTCTACAGGCTCGGGAAGACAATACGGGAAGGATCTCTCGTGACACAGGCAGTGAATCACTAGAAGAGCAGAACTTTCTTTCGGACCTATTTCAGTAGATATGAAATCTATCAAAGTGAACTCATCGATGCAAATTTATCTGGGTTTGGTCGACTACCAACAGTAACTGTAACAACATCCCCGATTTGTTGAACAAATTGTAACCTTTACTATTTCGACATTTCGAATGACGCAATTCAGGAGCATCAAGAACGCGATCCAATCCTATTGAGCTCGAATTTTCTAGACCAGTCGTTTACGATCTGGGCTCTCTCATTCTCTTCCCTTGTGCCAATGCGCTCGCGTAGTAAATCTTGTCGCCATAGTGATTGACGATTTGGGCCATACCATGCCAAACGTTGCCATACGTCTGCCTGTAAGTGCTTGACCGGCTCCACATAATGCGTGCATGACTACCATAACTGGTGAATCAGTCGCAGTCTCCCCCTTGATTATTAAATCTTAAGTAAGACCGGTGGATGGACTGGGCTTGATTTTAGACGCATGTAATAGTTCAGCATCCTCGAACCCGAATGAGCATATGGAGACAAATTCATGGCATAGAACTGGCAGACCTCATGTCTTTGACCGCCAGGTTGAGAATGATGGCGAAATTATATCACCCGTTCCACTCTCTTCGAGTCTGAATACTTCAATAATGGATGACTTCTCAAGCTTTCGAATTCTCCACATCCCTTCCTCATTAATAGTAGATTTTAGCCCTAAAGCTCATTAGCATGCGATACAGGGAATCAAACGCCTTGGGAGTTCCTACATTCGAGAAAAGCACTAGTGAAATTGATGCAAATGTTCCCGTCCCAGGTACCCCTACCAGCGTTTTTGACTTTATTTGGTATGCTGGCAGTCTCGAGCTCTTCTAAGCGATGGACGATACCACGCTGATCACGAAAACCTACAATGATTTTGGGAACACCAAGCAAGAATGACTGTGCCCAGAATTTTAACAGTTTCCGCTCATATTTCAACATGTCTCGATCATTCCTGATCTCTGCAGATGTTTTGAGTTCCACCCAGTGGATACCGTCTTCTTTTCGAGCAGGCTTGCAATCCCAGACTGTCCAGTTATTAGCATGTGCGCTCGGATAAAATTAGTCCTCTCCATACCGGCATCAACCTCGCCCCCGATTATCAGTCGCGTCTTGCCTATTCCTGTACGTACAACTGAACAGTATTGGGCGTTGTTGTTCACAGCCAGCTCATCTCGGGATTCAATCTCTTCACGTGTAGTCGGGTCCCATGGCTGGTTGAGAAGAGATATTGTTTCGAATTTGTACCCTAATTCAATCAACAACTGACACTAGAATGAAGGAGGCGCATAATACGCTACCCCAATAGGCCATCATATCCTGAGAAGGCATCCCTGGGGGCATTCGTTGATTCTTTTGTAACTGTTTTTGCTGGTTCTTGTAGAGATTGTTCTCTTCAATAAATCTAGACAACGTTTAGAATGTATATGACCGGTATGGCCATGTTAATGTGCTTACATAGTATCCTGAGGCACAATGGTTAGCTTCGGGATACCACGAAAAGGACTAAATAGGCCCTGGATGGAACTCACTTGGAACCGGGTCGCATTCATTTCGAATCTACATATGATTGAGTGAAGAGCAACGTTGTAGCGATCGGTAATTGTACATACCCATTCAAATTGTCGAATGGTGCCGTCAGGATCTAGACGAGTGCCATTGTCAACTTACGAGTTGAAGTTAGGGTACCAGCCCCTGGTCAAGTAGCTTACTTTGGTCATCATTCCCCTCCACGTGATGATGTCGGCCTCACATTTTTTCCCTGTCTCCTTTTCTAAAGCCATGATCGTTTCCAGTAGAGCATCTAGATGCTCATCTGCTGAGTCGTCCAACTTTTGGAAGGTATCATAACCGCAATTCAAGTCTGCAGGAAGACGTGGTGGATAGTAGTATCGTAGGGATGAATCCCCTAAATGAAAGATGTGCTGGTCGTCATATGAAAAGCAAGTGATCTCCTGCGTGATGTTTACATTATTGAAACCATGCAGGACGGAACGGCCGACCTACCTTAGGACGGCGAATTGTAGCATTGGATCCATAGAAGCGGCCAATCGGCTGTATGTCAAAGGTGCTTTGATTCATAGCGCTTCGGGATGCGTTTTGAGTATACTAGTGATGTGATTCAACAACGTATAATCAGTAGTACGTTGCAGCTAGGGAAAGGAAAGGCTTAAGATAAGTAAAGGAAGAATGGGGGCTAGTGAAAGTCAAAAATATAAAAAAAAAATAAGAATAGAAATGAGAGTGATCGCAACATTCAATAGTAGGCCAAGCGAATAACTATAGCGTCTACCTGGACATGCGACTAGGGTACTCCGTAGGGAAGTTTTAAAGGCAGTTTGGGTAAAGAAGGGTATCCAGCTGTGCTTTGTATCTAGCCGGGAGCGTGATGTAGTTAGATAGAATACTAGGTATTATTAGTATTCTCCCAGAATAGGGTTAGCGCCGTATCCATGACGAATATTGAAGAAAAGTAACAGAATTGAGCATCGCCAATGGTTCATAGGTTTATTCCATGCTATCATACCTTTTTTGAATTCAATCGGACCATGTCAAAGAAAACATGAGCATGCAAAATTGTACTGTAGTAGTTCAGTTGTATTCGTCCCTCTGGTGTTCTGGATTTGAGAGCCGAAGTTTGTCCCACCAACCTCTCAGTAGCTACTGTATTGCCGGACTCTTTTGAGTCCGCTTCTCACTCCCCCCCTCTTCTTCACCTCCGTTTTCTGACACCTACACTTGCTGAGTTACGTTTTCTTTCCCCACCATAATTTAATATCGCTCTCTACTTGTTGTCCTCACTTCCGCTCATCTCGCTGTTTCCAAAACATTTCACTGCCTTGAACACGAAGCAGGATGACCTCACGTATCGAGAAAACCATTGCTCGGCAACGAGAAAAGTAGGAACATCACGGAGCCCGCGTACTTGCCTTTATATCAATTTTATCTCGGCGGTAGCTTTGCATAGCAAGGAGCTAATTATTTTGGCGGTTACAGGATAGCCTCCGGTGCTTACTACGAGGCTCATCAGCAACTGAGGGTCATCGCTGCGCGGTATATCAAACAAGCGAATTACGATGCGGCCGCGGAGTTACTGGCAGGGGGTGCGACTGCACTTTTAAGGGCTGGGTCTCAGCAAGGCGCTTCTGCCAGTGGCGGGGACTTGGCTATTATGCTTGTCGTCGAGGTGTACACGAAGGCGGGGTGGGAGATTACTGCAAGTGATGATGATACGGAAGGCCGTGCTCGAAAGAGTAAGTCTCGAGAAACATCCCTCTCTGTATAAGTTTTACAATGAAAGTTGGGCTTTGGCTAAGTTGATGATTTTGCCTAATTGCAGAGCGCCTTATCGAGCTCCTTCATGAATTCCCATCCGAGGAACCAACTCGCAAAAGGTTCATACAGGAGATGATTGGCTGGAGTGGACGGTTTGGGCCTCTAGAGAGAGGCGACCCCGATTTACATCATGCAGCTGGATCGGTGTATGCCGAAGGTATGTAAATATGCGCCGGGAAGTATATGTTCATGTTTTCCTTAACCAATGGCTTTAGACCACGAACCCTACGACGCTGAAAAGCATCTGATCCTCGGAACCTCAGAATCAGCTGAAACCCTGGCAAAATTAGAGCATGAGTGGTACACAAATGACGAACCGCACACGGCAGCGATTTACGCATCCCGCGCAGTTTTCCCGTACCTCCTGACCGGAAATCTGCGCAGTGCTAATAAAGCATTCCTCATCTTCACGTCCCGACTTTCGTCTTCTACTCCTTCCCCCCTTTCACAGGATGTCAGCAGCTCTAGTACTGATGTGCGAGTCTTTCCCGCATTGCCTTTGCTGAATTTCATCAGCATGCTTCTCCTCACGATTCAACGCGGCAGCGCGGACCTTTTCAAACAGTTAACATCTCATTATGCATCGCAAATCCAAGAGGTCGGCATGTGGGATGATTTCTTGGCTCAGATTGGTGAGCAGTATTTCAGTATTAAGATCCCAAGACAGGGAAACCCTTTGCTGGATATGATGGGTAGCATGCTGTTCGGAGGGGGGCAGGGCAGTACAGGTGGAAGGATGCCGCAAAGCCGAGGCTCATCCAAGAAAGTCGAAGCGCCACCGGCAAATCCGGAGCTCGACTAGTTTAATAGAAGGCAGTACCCGCGGTGTATACAGATCGGACATAGTCTGCACAGCTTTGTCATGGAGGTATTTATGCATCATGTAAGTGACATCGACTAAAATAGCGAGTCGGGTTCTGGTTCGTATATCCAGTTGTCTTCATCCAGGGAAGCAACTTTGTTCCGAAGGCTCTGATGGATGAGGTTCAGAATCTCTAAGGAAACCAATCAGCTGTAATCGAACCAGATCCAACCGCGTGGAGCAGCATAAGGGTAAAACTTACCAGCTGGTTCGGAGCTCATCTGCCTGTTCCGACTTCGGTACATCATCTCTACCAGACTTGCCTCGATTTCTAGATCAATGGCGATCAGTATGTTATCGGCCAATAATGGACGGATAGTCGAAGTCAACTTACTCTCTTTTTCGTGTCCGCTGATTTCCGTCTGTGCTGTGGACTCAGCCCCCGTAGGCCCAGATCCTCTAGTAGCTCCACCTTCCATGCCCTCCATCTCATCCCCATCCTCTCCAACGGCCGGCGGAAGAACGGGGATGTCGAGCTTGTAATCACCATTTTTATCCTTCACCACGATCTCCTCGCCATCGGCTATGCTGGGGCCCAGCGACTGTGTCGATTCAGACGACGCAGATGGCATAACATGAGAGGAGAGACTAGTCAGCCCACCGTTTGTACCACTTTGCATCGAGGTATTGGGGAGAGCTGCCGGTACAGAGCGTTTGCTGAGATGGTGGTGGAAAATATTGCGGCGGACAGATGTCGTCCCCATCGTGGAATTAATATTCAGCTGTATATCGGCGAAGTACGAAAGACGCGGTGAATAGAGCCCTTTATCGTTTTTCCTTTTAACCCCTGTTTTCTCTCGCACAAGAACAAGCTATTGCTTCGGAGTTCAGGCGAATACAGCAAGTGAGTAGATAATGATGGGCTCCTTGTAGAGATACAATTAAAACTATTAGGATAAAATCTAGGAAGAGCCATAAATATAAGGTACAAAGGAGTGAAACATCAGTTGAGCTTGCAGCTGTAGCGAGCTGTTGAGGAAGTAGGAATTGAATGATAAAAGTGGGGCTTAGAACCGCACTTGGCAACTGGCCAGTGTCTTTCTGTTTTTATCATTGCTTCGCGCCTTGGAATTGTTGCCAGTCACGATAGAAGACCGAGTAGTACAGAAGATATCATGTCTCCATTCAAATCTGTGTAGTCATGCCTACCACTAGTAGTCATTATATGGGACTTCGTCGTACTTGAGTACTTAATTTAGCTGTACGATGCCAAGAGAGCACGGGATCTGATTAATCCCAATTAGGCTAAAATGCATCTCGACGCGTCTTTGGGCGACTTTCGCGTCCCCCGAGCAAACCAGCTTTTGCTTACTGAGACAACTTAAACATAGCAACTAGTCCCTGGGGATATCACAACGGCTGCACAATGGTTCAAGCCGAATCTTCATCAAATGCTGCTCGCGATGGCCTCAAGCCCGTCACAGCGGGGGCCCCCCCTGATTATGAGCTGCCGTGGTACATGATTGCAATCGTTTTCGCTCAATAGGAAGACCAATTCTAACATAGGACCATTCATAGGGTTGAAAAGTACCGTCCAGTCTTTCTTGATGATGTTGTCGGCAACACAGAAACTATTGAACGATTGAAGATTATCGCGAAGGATGGCAATATGCCACACGTCATTATCTCAGGCATGCCTGGTATCGGAAAGACCACTTCTATCCTATGTCTAGCACGTCAATTACTAGGTGATGCGTATAAGGAAGCCGTGTTGGAATTGAATGCCAGTGATGAGAGAGGTGTGAAATGCATCGCCCACGAACTATGACAGGCAACGGCTGATGGAGTCCCAGGTATTGATGTCGTTCGGAACCGAATTAAGGGATTTGCCCAAAAGAAAGTCACACTGCCCCCGGGTCGTCATAAGATAATTATCCTCGATGAAGCAGACAGGTACACATTAAAGAAACCCTCGCATACGCATACCTGTTTAGCTTATTTACTGATCGCGATTCAGTATGACGCCAGGTGCTCAGCAGGCGTTGCGGCGCACCATGGAGATCTACTCTTCTACTACACGATTTGCCTTTGCATGTAACCAATCGAATAAAATCATAGAGCCCATCCAGTCTCGATGTGCCATTCTCCGCTATGCTCGATTGACCGATGGGCAGGTTGTCAAACGACTAAAACAGGTCTGCGATGCCGAAAAGGTGGAACACACAGAAGACGGAATTGCGGCCCTGGTGTTTAGCGCGGAAGGAGACATGCGTCAGGCCATTAACAACTTGCAAAGTACGTGGTCAGGCTTCGGCTTTGTCAGCGGCGATAATGTCTTTCGAGTTGTCGACAGTCCCCATCCTATCAAAGTTCAAGCGATGATCAAGGCCTGCTGGGAAGGGAAAGTAGATGCCGCCTTAGAAACATTAAACGAGCTATGGTATGTGTACATGAAGCGTGATGCTACAGTTTTTCATGCCTAAACTTACTTCTTCTGTAGGGACTTGGGTTACTCTTCCCATGACATCATTAGCACAATGTTCCGAGTCACAAAGACGATCCCGACATTATCAGAACACTCTAAACTAGAGTTCATCCGGGAGATAGGCTTTACACATATGCGCATTCTAGACGGTGTGCAGTCGTTGCTGCAATTGAGCGGCTGTATTGCGAAACTTTGCAAGATCAACATGAAACCCCAGCTGTTTGAAACCTCAAGAACTTGATCAGATTGGAGGGAAAGGAACCGGGCATTTTGCGGTGTTTAGAGGCGTTGAACAAAAGATTGTTTAATTTACACACAAGTGTTTTATTTAGTAGTTCCCCATTTCATAAGAAGTTAATGATCTATTTGGCCCTCGGGCAGACCTGGGATTGGAATAGAAATTGAACAGAAAACTGGAGTTTCTTTCAAAGACGATATGAATTCACGACGAGCCCGACGGGTCTTGGTTAGACTGCATTCTGGTAGTGGCGCACGACTGGACAACCTTAGAGGTCATGAATGCTCAGTTTGTCTTAGGAGCTGCTGGCATCTTCACACCCCCTGGCGGTTTAGTCTTGACTTTGCAAATTTGTTCCATGGCCACTCATTCGTTCTCATGCTTCACGATGAGTCACTGATCCTATAAAAGCTTAGTACTTGTCTGTATATTTCCCTCCTATGGTCCCAACCAACCGGCCACGGCGGCGACTCCGTAACCAAGCAGAGCACGCTTTTCCCCCATGTTTCTACCTCAGATGGAGTAGCAGCTACAGCTGAAGGTGAAGGTAGCACAGCACATCGAATACGGCTTATCATCATTCAATCAATTCAAATGTCTCCTTTCCGCGATAGCTCTAGTTGTATAAGTACTACTTCCTGTTGAGAGTGGGGAACCCTCTACTACTACGTGTGCTTATCATAACTTACCCCTCATTCTCAGATGTATACTCCAACGTTTAAGTAGGCATTTACTCCAAATCTCGTTCGGATTACTCCAAGCTGGAGCAAGCTCCACAAACCATGCATTGCCCGACGCGGAGTGTTAAGTAAAATTGCCTGAAGACAAATGTCCGACATCAACGTGAGCACAATGACAGCTTCCCCAACCATGAAAATTAGAGATCTCTCCAGATTCTCTCGATAACGGTTGCAGCCCCCAACACCTTTTCCTCATTCAGTTTCTTTCCGATGACTTGGACGTTGATGGGATGGCCTTCCATAGCCTTCACGTCATAAAGATCCCAGTTCCATGCGTCCAGCTCATTCCTCGGGTGATATGTCTTTTGCACGTTATCTACAGCCACTCTTACTTCGTCAACAGGGAAGGTGACAGCTGGATAGTCGAGCAAGTTCCAGATCTTAGTATATCCAACCCACCGCAGTCTTCGGTGTGGAACAGCTGGATGCGGTGTAGTGGGAGCTAGGAGAATGTCAACTGGCTTCCCCGATGGAGACCGAATCGCATTCCACTTATCAAGGTATTTTTTTTGTAGTGCGACCTTCTGTTTGTTGAGCTGCCAATACTCGTAGACGGAGATAGCCTGGCTTCGGTTAACTAGTGCCTCAACATGAGGAACAAATGGTTCTCCAGCGACAGCAATGTCGCGACGGATATCCTCGCCACCGTCAACAGTATAATACCGATCCATGAGTTGAATATATTCAAAGTGATCTGAAGCATCCCAGATGACAATTTCATGGCCCTTTGCTTGTAGTTTTGCCGACAACTCGCGGAGGGCTCTTTCAATAGGGGGGTGGATCGTCACCACCCCATCATCTAGAATCAAACCGACAACTATGGGCCGATTTTGTATCTCCTGAAATGCATCCTCATTCCACGGAAGGGGGGTGCACTTTGGGTCCAACTCCCACGGCTTAGCGTTGGCAACAGACCGACTCACATAAGTGATAGACGCTAAGTCGCGAGCCATTGGACCGATGGAAGAGGGGACGTGCTCTTGTCCTTCAGTGGAGACAGGAACCCCTAGATACGGGAATCTGCTGCTCTGTTTGGTAGTCAGCCCGGTACTTTTCGTCTTGAACAGTCATTCCAGGGCTAAAATGTACCGTGGGTTTGAAACCGTATAAGCCCACAATACTTTGCGGAATCCGGATACTGCCGCCGATATCTGTTCCAAATCCCAGGAGGGAGCCATGTAATGCTAAGAGAGCCGCTTCACCCCCCGTCGAGCCTCCTGGAGTCAACCTAGGATCACGCGGGTTAACCGTCAGACCCCAAAGAGGATTTTCGGTTTCAGCCCACTTTGATTGAGGTTAGCCCATAACGGAACACCTATGAAAATCCATTCGAACATGCAGACCATAATACTTTGAGGCAAATTGGTCTTCGCTAGAATGATTGCTCCCATATCCCTCAGCATCTGCACTAGAGCTGCATCTTCCGTAGCAGGAGCAAACGAACGCCCGACATATCCCAAGGTAGTATCGACGCCTCTGATGTTGAATTGGTCCTTCAAAGTGATAGGGACACCATGGAGTGGTCCTTTGAGATGCCCAGTTTCCCGAAAAACACGATCCAATGCTCGAGCCTGGGCCAAAGCATCTTCAAAGACCACCTCTGTAATACAGTTTGTCTAATATTGTTAGTTATTGTGGATACTTTCGTATACCTGCTCCATTGCGATGGGTATAACCCACCAATTGCTGTGCTATTGCAGCCCTGTACAGGTGAGAAATTAGCTACACTCATCCATCAAACAAGCATTGGCCATGCAACGGTCACCTTCTAACGTAAGCGAGGATAACAGCCTCAGCAGTAAATCTGCCTGTTCTTAATTGGTCGACCAGAACAGGGATATTGTCGATATCAGTGATTTCTTGAACTTCTGGATCACTTTGGATGCGGGAACGTTCCTGGACATTGTGGACCTGAGGTAGCCGTTGATCCACATCGAAGACCATGTAGGGTTTCAGGAGTTCGTTCCGTAAGTGCTGCTTTCGAGAAGCAGTTTGCTTCCATATTTGAAAGTGGTTCATTTTACTCAGGAGTTTTAAATGCAGATAGAATGTTGGGAATACAGGTCGCCAAACAGTCCGGGATCAAATACACAAGTTGAATTAGGGGCTATAGGCCCATAGGGCACGTCCACTCCAGCATTTATAGATTGCTTCGGCCAAGTAGTGAGTTAGGCTACTCATTTTGGGGGGGGGTTATCCGTGCAGTGCTGACCCCAATCATCTTTTGATAACTAGCGATTGGGGTACGTTGTTTAGTACTAGTTGGGCCCTTTTTGGGGTGGAGACGACTTGGGGAACGGCATGATTGCCGAGGGAAAGATAGTTAATGCGAATAAATCCTGGGATACATTGTTATCGGATGTAATTGTAGTGATTCAACCGGGCTGACTCTATCCACAGCCATATATATATATATCTTATTCGCAAGAATTTACGCCGTAGAAATTACGGCCAACCGTGATGGGGGCAGGGCCCACTCGTGAACAGGGGAGAACGGCCACTAAAGGAGCGGTGGTGCACCAGAGGGGGGGATTTTATAATAATATTCAAATAAGCATAAGCCGTTGTAAGATTTTAGCTTTACTTTCCCGTTTTGTAGAAATGTCCCGTTATTTTCGATTATTATTTCCCTTCAAACAAGCTTGGAAAGGGTGACGGCACTAAGGTTGAGACAAATGCGTTACAGTGGATTCATCACGCGGGGGCCTCCACGACGGGCGATTTTTTCCTCATTTTCTCTCTCCATGTTGATCATTCTCTTGAATAACAAGCTGACTGATGGACGGGGAAGTCGAATGTGAGGCATTGAAATGTTTCGTCTTGGTATATCATTGTGATTGTTCCTCTTGCTCGCATATCTGCTAGTTTCCTGCCCTCTATCGCCCCTTTTGTCCCTCCGAGAACATGCCATCATGAACCCGACCTCGGATGCCACTACGACACCCCCGATGACCGGTGCCATCCGGACTGAATCCCGAAGGAAGACATCGGGGGCTATAGCGAAAAGGGCCTGCGACCAGTGCAAATTCCGGAAGATCAAGGCAATACTTCCTTCCCTTTCTTGAGATTGTTGTTAATTTCACTGCACCTCCCCCGCCCGATGCGGTTTACTTCTGATACTTGAGCGGTCGGTCGTGGCTATGCTAACCTTCTTAGTACTGCACAGTGTAGTCTATCGCAACCATGCAAAGCATGTGTGTCTATGGGTTTTGAATGCACCTTTTTTCAACCCCAGAAGAAACGGGGTCCAACTGGACAGTGAGTTTACTAGAATAATGCTCTACTCATCTGTTGAGTGATTGCATAGTCTGACCACCTCTTTAGTCGTGTATCGCAGATCCGGCAGCAACAAACCCATGTGTTGAGCAAAAATTCCCCGACTCCACAGAGTCAAGTCAACTCTAGCGCCTTTCCTACCACTTTCCCTTATCAAGCAGAGCCTCCCCCGCGAGAAGAAAGTCGACATGATGCGACACCATGGCCTATTCCTGGTGGCGATGTTTCCGTGCCCGTCGACCTTGCGCAATCCCATGCGACGGCGGCGGTTGCTCCTGGCTGGGGTGTAGATGCTTCGTCCATGGCATCTCATAGTAACAGTGCGATAGGCTGGAATGAGAGAAGCGATGTGGAGTATTGGTTGCCGGATAATTTAGATGCTCAAATGCCCATCTTTGATTTCCCGGGCACTAATATCTACCTAAGGACATCTCTGCCCTCTATCATTCAGAACGATGCGGACTCCTCGAGTCTGCAAGCACAGGGTCTAGAATCACATAATATCCCAGCTCCCGTGCCTGATGTGGATGTTACCAAGCCAGAACCAAGTCACACAAGAGCTTTATGGCCCTCGTCGATCGTGGAGGCCAACATGATTCCATGGATTGACGTCTATTTTGATCGCCTGCACCCGACTTTGCCAGTGCTAAATCGGTCTTCGTTGTTCATCCGGATGTTATCCCATGAACATCGGAAAAATCCTCAGTTTGGCTCAATGTTGCTGTCGCTGTGCGCTTTCTCGCTGACCCAGCCTATTGAGATAGATGAGCGACCCACTTCTCAATCTCGAGCTGGCCAGGCCAGGTTAATGATGACCGAAGCTACAAGAATGAGAAGCTGCTCTGATTTTGGCGAAAACCCAACTATCGAGGCCGTTCTCACAAGCTTCTTCCTATTTGGATGTCTTTTTGGTAGTAATCAGCACAACGCAGCATGGCTTCGTCTACGGGAGGCTTTAGATCTCGCCGCTACATTGGGGTTGAACGACCCAAATTCTTATCGCGATTTACCTAGTGACGAAAAGGGCCAGCGTTTGCGAACTTACTTGGTCTTATCTATTACGGAGAGGTATGTCTCCTTTGGGCACTTTACCAACCTTCTTACTTAGCTGACATCAAATTAAGAGCGTATGCATTGCAACGTAGACACCCGATTACCTTTTGGGGAAAGCCTGGCTTTAGCATGCGCTCTGTGCATGATTTTATTCATAATGCCACGCATAGTCTTGTTTCCGGGATCATAGTTCATAATGAGAAAGATGCTGAAGGAATGATGGGCCTAGCCCGTTTAATGGAGCTCTTTGATGCTGTCGATGAGGATGTCGTCGATTGCTGGAACCGGCGGTGCAGCATCGACTCTGGTTATTGTGAAAAGCTGACTGAGGCGAAAGCTTTGGCTATCCACCAAAACCTTAGTCGAGTTAGCGAGTCTGAGCGATATAAGGGATATGACTGGTTTGAGCGCACAAAATCAGCTTCTGGAGAGACTCGCAACACCCAGCCAGCAATGGGGTTGAGAGAGACACAGTGTGCGGATGTTTTTATCACCAAGAAGTGGCTTCAGAATCGCGTATGGGTCCTATGCTCCACTCATGGTCTACTTAAGCCTTCGTCCGACCACCATGAACTCTGTTTCAACTACTGTGTTTCTGTCGCAAAGGATACACTCAAAATCTGTCAGTCATTGAGACTGAGCTCCATGGAAGCACATGGGATAGGTCTTGTGAGTCAGAATTTAACCCCAGAATGCATTCGGTTCCATGACTTATGTAACTAGGTTGAAAAATTGTACGACATCGCTGTCAGTGCCATCAGCGTATCGGCTAATGTCCAGCTATCTCTGGGAAATGGTTTCGCTCTGGTACCACCCGTAGCCGAATCGATGCCAAAGTCAAGCGTCTCGCCACCAAGTTTTCCAGGATCCATGCACTCAAGTGCTGCTACCACGCTTCCTCAGTCCTTGGCGGAGGATTTTTTACTTTTGCTCAATAGCCTGCGCGGTGGGAACCACCCTTATCTGGAAAGATATAAGGCCTTCTTGAGCTCCTCGAACATCAGGAGCAACACTTATAGTAACTGGTCTTCAGAAGTTCAAACAACGCATACTCCTAGCGGTGTTTGATTGCTGCTTATGTATTATCTTTGATTTGCTTTTCTCCTTTCTAGGCTTTGGCGTATTGATGGTGTCCCGATTAAAAGCATGCAAGGAGTTCGCCCTCGGGTCTCACGGAAGAAACATATTGAGTCAGAGTATTCACCAATTATTGAAGTCGGAGCCAGCTATCAAGCTGGCCCTTGATTTACACGTTATAGTTAGATCAAGTGCGCCAATGTATACCCAGGTTATGATGGGATGTGCCACGAATGCGGAGATTAAATGTACATCTTAGTTCTAACCTGTATTATAGATACACGATGATGGGAATAATGCATTAAAACGGCGCTAAGCAACATCTGGAGGGGGTTTCGAGCGATTTGGATATGTCCTTAATTCAAGTGAACTTTCATAGGTCCGCCATTTCCAGGCCGGAACACCTGCGTCGTACAGTTCGTCAATCTCTGCAAAGGTGCGGCCTTTTGTCTCGGGCAGAAAACAGAATGTGAAGATTACGATACAGACCATACAGCCGGCGAATATAAGATAGGCCTTCGCGCCTAGGTTTGCTGCATCTGGCGCGGTCAGCCGAGGGACGACAAGCGTAGTGATCACTGCGGTTGTTTGAGCACAGGCAATGGTGTAGGCCATGGTATGGTGCCGGAGTTTGGGTGTGGCCATCTCTGAAGGCATCAAAGTCGACAGTGAAGAAAACGACGAGGCCCAGAAAAAGTTAAAAGTTAGAGACAATGCGACAATTGCTACACGAGAGCGCCGGTCTTTGCTGAATGCTAGACCCCCGGCTAAAGCGTCAATAACGAGCAACACGCTCATCCCCACCAACGCGGTAGGACGACGACCAGCTCGATCTATTACAAAGGGCGCTGCTATAGTACCGGCAAGAGTACAACAAGATGCAATTACCGTCAAGGAGAAAGCATCTAAGGCGAAGGAATCATCCATGCCAATCTCGGTGAGGAAAACCGTAACGTAAGTCGTCGAGAGTATTACCCCGGAGACCTGGTTCAAAGAGAAGAACGACCCAGCTGTCAGGGTTCGGTGGAGGTGCTTCCTTGAGAATATCTCCCAGAACTTCACATTGGCCTTCAGTTCACGTTCCTTTTGTTCACAAAGCTTCATTATCTCAAGCTCGACGTCGACCTGCTCGTCGCTGAGGCCACGGAGTTTCCGCAAGTTGCTACGAGCCTGTGCCGATTCGCCTTTGGCAACAAGCCATTGTGGGCTTTCAGGAAGAGGTAACGTGCAGATAAGTAGTAACACGGGGAGAGCACACTGCACGGCCAACGGGATCAAGTATGACTCTCTCCCTCCTTGTTTTTTAGTCTCAGATACTACAACGGTTCCGATAACTCCCGCTGTCACGTTCAAGATATTGATTGATGTTACACTCCTGCCTCTCATGGAAGCGGGAACTACCTGTCAAGTAATTAATTATGTGATCTGTTTCATACATTGCAGCTGCATACCTCCGAAAGATACAAGGGAGCGGTGCCATTGGCGATGCCCATGGCAATGCCATTTATAAATCGTCCAGCCACGAATGCCGCCAGACTAGGGGCAAAAACTTGAAGCAATCCACCACTGATGGAGATAACGTACGCCATCAACACGGGCCGTTTTCGGCCAAAGCGGAAATTCAGCGGCGATGCTGCAAGACCTCCGAGAATCGAACCGACCAGCGGGACCGAGAATACGATGTTCTGATTGCGGGCGGTCAAGGTATATCTCCCAGTACTCGGATTGGGTCCTTGATACCTTTCGACCTGAGTAGATTCCATTGTCAGTGGGATTGGCGGCTTAACTCCCGTCAGAGGTTGACTTACAAAAGGATCCAGCGCCGCTACAGGCGAGATAATCTTATCATCAAAGCCAAAAAGGAATGACGCTGCCCCGAAGACCACGCAGGTCACCAACAAGAAGACATTAACGGTCCTCTCTTTTGAGGGACAATGAGATTCGGTGCTGGTCAGGTCCAGATGTTGTACATCACTTGTGTCACTGTCCACAGTTGAGTGAATGTCCGAATCTACCACTGACTTTGTGCTGGTCATCTTGAGCGATATTATTTGCATGCTTGGGTGAGCAGAGGAGAACTACTAAATTACTCATGTCACAACAAAGAGTTGATTATTTTGTGGGTCTTCATTCCATTCTCCTGTGGATGCTCTTTTTCTCCTTCTCCTTGTTCTTTTTCTCTCTAGAAGAAAGACGGAAGAGATTGAGACTTAAAGAATGGATATTGGTGGAGATAAGTGCCGTGGATTGTCTGGAGACTAAGCGGATCAGGAGGAATATCACCTTGAGGGACGTGGTGAGACATGGATATGTGTGAGATATATACCGTGACCCCGGATCTTTGGGGGGGGGGGGGGGGGCGAACCCCAAAGAGATTTATGGAGTAGATGGGAATTAAACATTGTACTCTGTATTGCTTTTCCAGTTCCACACTCAAAAAGACACTCGAAGTTTCAATAATGGGCCTGGAAAGGGTAAAGTCGGGTAGGGTAACGTATTTGAAAGGAAAGGGAGCCAATAATTCAAAAATCATGGAGGTATGGCCCACACAATCCATACCTACTAGTACAGTACAGAAACACGTCGTACTAGTTCCTCGTACTAGTACGAGGTACTAAGTAGGAATTAAGGATATGTTTAAATGGACGGCATTAAAAGAGAAAGAAAGGATCCACTACCTTTGAGACTTGAAGTTTCAGTAGACTACACTTTATATTTAGAATATCCTTGGCAGTATATCCCAACTTTCATTGCAATTCTTGCTACTGAGGTGGCTACGTACCGGTAGGTATGTACACGCATTTTCATCTTAAGTTCAAATACATAAACAACATCCATCTCCTAAACTCGGGCTAGTTTTGGCATGGTTCTCTCCCTGATATTTGTTAAAGCCGTTCATCAGAAATACAAACAACCTGGGGAGGATATTGCCTTGTCATGATTTACTTATCCTATCGGGATTCGGTACTCATATCAATTCTTCGTATATCTCACACAGCTAAAATTGATGTCCTGGAATCAGCCTAGCAGAACACCAGGGGGCGGGATCCATCGGTTGCAGGTTCCGCCACTCAGTGCGAATACTAGTACTGGAATACTTCGCCGATTTTTCGGTTCCATCAATGTTTGCGAAACAGCCAGGATGGACTAGCCGATCATTCTACAACTAGTGTGCGGTCTCCGACCGAGCCTGTCGTTCATGTGGGATACCTCCCCAAGGCAAATTCTCCGAGAATCCCCCGTCCGCTTCTCGACCGGTGGTGATAATTCTTAAAGCGAATGACAACTGCCCTCCGAGGCAAACGCCGTGAGGCAGGCCAGTGCCTCTGTTAGAATATTTCTTTGTTCAGAGCTTCCTAAAACCCCCCAGGTTTCCGCGGTTGACATCGCAGCAACCCGTTAATGCATAGCTACACCATACTATAGGCTTCCAGCCAAGCTAGCAAGACGTGTGTGTCTCACCAATCGATCGGCATTATCTTCCAATCAGCTGAGGTCCTTGCGACGAAGGGTCTGGGCTAGGGGCGGATTTCGCAAGAGAGATTTCCGTTTTTGAGCTCTTGGTTGGCTATATTCCCCGTCTATACTAGTCGCCTCATAACCAGCCGAATCAAACCACACCGATAGACATGCCAGTTCTCACAGGATGCCAAGGGGCGGCAATCCCTGCCAATTCGGTGCCCCAGACCCCATCATACAATCTTAACCTGATTGAGAAATCTTTATCGTGTGAACAGCAGGTGACGTCTGCCCGTGATGTTATATACTCGCGGCCATCGTTTCACCTAACCGCTCCCCACGGTTGGCTAAACGACCCTTGCGGTCTTGGATATGACCCTGCGACTGGCCTATATCACCTATCTTTTCAATGGAACCCCAAAGGCAACGATTGGGGAAACATCTCCTGGGGACATTCAGTATCACCGGACCTAATATCCTGGAAGACATCCCCAGAGCCATGTCTAACACCTTTAGCTGAGTATGATAGTTGTGGCATATTCACAGGCTGCCTTCGGCCTTCTGACATCAACGGGGCTGCCGGGGCCCTCACGTATATATACACTTCGGTGAGACGTTTGCCTTTACATTATACTTTGCCCTATGAGGTTGGCAGCGAGTCGCTCAGTATAGCTGTTTCACGGGATAACGGCGTAACGTGGCAGCGTCTAGACTCCAACCCAATTCTACCAGCGCCTCCTATGGGTCTTAATGTAACTGCTTGGAGAGACCCTTATATAGGAGTGTGGGCAGCGAAGCGGGGTGAACACGACAATAACATATTACCATCTCCCAGTCTTTCTGGGTTTCTCTCCGGTGGAATCGCTGGGCGGACACCAACAGTCTTCGTTTACTCAGTCAATCCTGATGATCTTAGAGAATGGAAGTATGCGGGACCTCTCGTTAACGTTGGGCTGAATTTCCGGCCATCAAGGTGGTCGGGCGACCTGGGGGTAAATTGGGAAACTACAAACTGGGTGGTACTGTCTGACCATGAAGGAACCACGAAAAACTTTATTATCATGGGCGTAGAAGGGTGTTTGGTGTCTGGGAGGAAGCAAAAGAGGGTCTCTCGATCGCAGCTATGGATGGCCGTAGATCCACGTCCTGAACAACCGAAGTGCAAGCCCATAGATGCCCTCGCCGACTATGCATTTTCCGGAATATTCGATCACGGGTGTGCCTACGCCGCCAATTCCTTCTGGGATCCGGTCACGTCACAATACATCGTCTATTGCTGGATCACGGAAGACGATCTTCCAGATACTACCCGGCATCAACAGGGCTGGAGTGGTGTGATATCTCTCCCACGCGTTTTAAAGCTGACAACATTGCGCAATGTTACAAAGACACGTTGCTCCAATTTGAGTGATGTTACGTCTATTGAGAAGGAAGCCAACGGCGAAGGGAGTTTTACAATCCGCACGTTAGGCATTGAGCCCGACCAGAGACTTAAGAAACTTCGCAGGGGAGCGCAGAGCATCACGAATGTCCCATTATGCGGCCGGCAACATTGGGACAATTGCGTATCCTTGACGACATCAAGGTGGGAATTAAAAGCTGAGTTTGCAGTTGGGAAGCTGTGCAAGTTGGTGGGGATAGAATTTGAGCATGACTTAGGTAGGTCTTCGTTGTCTGGGTTGAGGATTTTCCCAATTACCTTAACAAGCATAGCTTTCTACGGTTCCTTAAGCGACTGACACAGGCTCCTAGATCCCCGTAATGGCACCGTCCTAGCATGGGCACCATGCAGTGAGACATTCTCGATCCACCGACCTCCTCCTTACGATCCGGACATCAACCATAATCCGGAGATCGCACCGCATACTTTGTTTACTTTCGCAGATGAAAGCGGCATGGAGAAAGAAGAGACACTTCGGATTCATGCATTCCTCGACCGAAACGTCCTAGAAGTCTTTATAAATGAAAGAACGGTCATCTCAACACGCATTTACACGCCATGTGTCGAGTCTGCCAGTCGGCTACGATTCTTTGCTGAATTAGACTCCAGCGCACCAAATCTGAAGCATGCCCCTGCTGTTCTCCTACAAGCGGATCTTTGGGATGGACTGGAGGTATCATGATTTGTACAATTAGAATATATAATACAACGAATACCGCGATTCGATCATATTCACACTTAATTAGTGGGCAGAAGCTAGTTCGTCGAGACCTGAATGGTATAGAATGGCAAGTAAAGTGGCATCGTCGGTCAAGGATGATATTCCTAGATCCTGAAAGGAAATTTGAAATCATATGTATCACCCAAAAACCGGTTCTACATAGGGGATACACTATACTATAGATGGCATTATGCGCCCTGTTTGGATCAGAAAGGCAACTACTGGCTGTAATGACTTACAAGAAAGGGCGTCACTTCTGGACCTAAGTATAGTGTTTTCAAGATCGATGTGACATTGCTACTATCCTTCCTATTCCCACATCTGTGCCAGGTGCAGTCTGGAATACAGGGGCTGACGACAGCATGGAGTGTAAGCTACCCGTAAGTGAACCTCGACCCTGTAGAAGCCTGGGATTTATGCCTAACCTGAATAAAACGACAGACCTTCAGTCAAGTCATCGGTAACTACAGAGTGGCCAGCAACGGAAGAAAGAAAAGGTGAACTAACAACACCTATGATACCAAGAGCCTTGCAATCTTCTGGGGTTTGCTCTATACAAACATTTACAACATTGAAGATAAGCCAAATATGTTAAGTATCAACTATTATTTTATTGTTGTTACAAGTCAACTATGGTGATCTGTACAATAGGTCCAAGTTATCCTGGACCACACATGGTATATATATGTTATGCTATATATGCAAAAATCATTGAGCAGAGACATGACAAACCAGCAGGTCCTCATTGTAAAATGATGCCTGTTCTACTATAGAGAAAGAAGAAGGGACCGTGGGGTTGTAAGAGAGCCATTGCATATCCACAAAGCTGGACATGATAGTTCTCATTTATCATGACCATTGAAATTTTTAGCTGCTGTTCATCCATACGCCTCACATTCCAAAATGGTATCATTGATTTTCATTACAAACTCCGTATATGACCCGGCAACTGGACGAAGAAAGGAGAAGGCGAAGGCCATAGGGTATAGGAAGAAGGCCAGATATTAAAAGAGATATAAGGGAAAAGAATGCGAACCGCGCGTGAACATTCACCTTGACTTCCAAAATTTCCACCCTGGCAATGTAATCTGACCATCACGCTGATAGATTCGCCAGTAGTAAACCGGAACGCCAGCTACAATAAAGGCCACAACAATCAAGGTTTGCAAGGGCTCTGCGATGACCGCTCGACTGAGAAGAAAGATGCTAACGCAGCAAAAGATGATAGGAGTTGAGATCCATGTTTTGTACGGTCGCTCCAAGTACGGTTCTCGAATCCTGAGCACAATCAGGCCCAGGACGGTGAGGAAATAGAATGTGTAGCCCGCGACACCGTAGAAGGTGACCAAGGTTTTGAATTCACCGACAATGACGTATACCAACGTGAGCGCGCTGTTCAGGGCCATGGCATTGATTGGTGTGTATCCGATTCGAAAGCGCTCACCAAAAAGGCGTGAAATAGATTGACGAGCCCATGACCGGTGCTGTAGTCGATTGGTTGCGGGATATTCTCGAGTCCAGAGGTTGCCAAATATTGAAGGCAGATAACCTTCCTTGCCGGCCGCATAGACCAATCGCCCGCTGGTGAAAACCGTCGCATTGAGCGCCCCGAAGCAGCTCGCAGAAACAATGAGCGCGAAGACGAGAGCGCCGGCTTTTCCAAACACCTTGTCGCCGAATTGAACAGCAATGGTGTTGCTGACCTCAATGGTCGAATGCGGTAGGACTAGGAAGTAGGAGATATTCGCGAGTATATAGCAGAGAATGACCAATGGCATCGCAGTATGAAGCACACGCGGGAGGTCACGATTGGGGTTTTTAAATTCGCCAGTCACGTAGTTAGTCTGTGTCTTATCAGCGACGGGCGCCCAGGTATAGAACATTGGTTATAGAAGTTAAGTGTCACATACGTTATCCCAGCCATCGAAAGCCCAAAGGCCGGCGTACAATGCGACCGCCCAGGCTGATATGTCAAGATTAGTATCTTTAAACCAACCCGACTTCCATTCTTCATTTGCACTCCCATCTGATGAGAGGCCCGTGATCGCCACGACAACGCCAATGATGGTGACTGCAAGCAAGGCGATGAACTTGAAGAACATAAATATGTCACCGATGCGTGCGGCTAATCTTGTGGAAATGCAGTTCAGCAAGGTCACCATCAAGACTCCTCCAAATGCGACAGCTTTGTTAATCCAGGGATTAACCTGCTCGACCTCAGCACCGACCACAGCCCGCACAGCGTATTCCCCAAATATGATGGCAATGATGGCAGCACTGCCTGGCTTCAGCACAAGAACAGCACACCAGGTGAAGAGGAAGCCTGCCAATTCTCCGAAAATCTTTGCCAAGTACACCTGAGAGCCACCATTCAACGGAATTGCTCCTCCTAGTTCTGCATAGCTGGCCGCTCCAGTCCATGCCAGCAGACCTGCAACTACCCATGCAATGAGGGACGCGCCAGGGGAGCCCGCGTTGGCATTGACCTGACTTGGTGATGAAAAAATCCCCGAGCCAATGATCAACCCGACCACAAGGGATAGGCCATTCAAGTATGTTAACGTCTTGTTCCTTTCCAATGAGCCATCGGCGGCCCCGCTTTCACGGTCAAGCGCAGAAGGCGCGCCTAACGGAGCATACCCCCCAGCCGTCTGCGACAAGGGGAACAGCGTTCTCCCAAAATCAAACGCAGATGATACCGAGTATGACCGGGCCGATCTAGGCCTCCCAGAGTCGAAATTTGTGGCCGCATAGGAATTCGAGAGAGGATCCTCATCTTCAAGGGAGAGCTTTCGGGAGGACGAAATACCGGAGGGGGAGGAGCCGGAGGACCTCGCGTCCAATTCGGGCGAGGAAGAGGCGAGCGAAGCGAGCTCTAGAGAGTCCCGAGGCGCATGGCTATTAGCTGACCTGCCTTCGGAGTTCAGAAACACCATTGTGGTTTAATGGAGTCGGGGGTTTGAGATTAATGAAAGCGGGAGTTCAATGAAAACAATCCATGCCAGGTTAGCTGCGACAACGAAAATAGAGAGAGAAAGACGAGCTTTCCTTGCTTATGTGTAAACCTCCCCTGTATGAACACAGAAGTGACCGCAAGGAATTCTCGTCTTTTTCGGCTGAAAGAAACAGGGGAAAGGAAAGACGAGCCCCGGTGCTGTAGAAGAATACAGAGTGATCGTCGTTTCCGCCAGATCAGGTCTAGCGTCCTTGTGCCCCCCAGATCTTTTCCGCAATTACGGAGCGAGCATATGAAGATATAACCCGTCCGATTCCCTCTCTTTCCAACGATCCCATGAAGCCTAGAACTTCGGCTCGGACCTTGTCTCTATTCAGTTCCCCGTTTCCCCTCTGTAGGTCAGTTGGTCGGATACGGAGACGCCATGCTTTCTCTTCCTCTTCCCCCGCATCGTCGCCGTCGAAACAACGCCCTTGGCTTCGAGTCGCTGTCGTGACCATCGCAGCAGCTGGAATTGGTGCTTATATCAGGTCCCAAGAAGGATCGAAATCCACAACGCTGAACCCCATCACATTTACTCCATATTTCCTAGTTTCAAAAGAGCCGGTATCGTCGACCGGTAGTATTTTTACTCTCAAGGCGCCTAAGCCGGCCAGTGATAATTGTCAGGTCTATGATGAAGCATGGAAGACGGGTGTCTGGAGTGTGATGTTCAAACAGCCGCAGCTACAGATTGGAAGAGACTATACACCTCTTCCGCCTACGTCGGTCGAGGGAAATGAGGAGTCGCTACGCTTCTTCATTCGTAGGGACCCTTTCGGCGAAATGTCCCGGTATTTGCATGGTCTTGATATGGGAACTCGCATAGAGATGCGTGGTCCGCAGATTGAGTGTGAAATTCCTTTAGATACCCAGCAGATTCTCTTCATTGCCGGTGGAACTGGTATCGCTCCTGCCTTACAGGCAGGACATACGCTCCTTAGCCGCACAGACGGAACACATAAACCGAGGATACACATCCTTTGGGCGAATAGGCGACGGGATGATTGTGTTGGTGGTATAAATGATAATACCATGACGTCTAGGTCGCGAGCGTCCTGGTTCTCCGGACTCTTCAAGTCATCACCAGCCGATCCACCTCCAGCTGATCCCGTGAATAGGACTGCTCCTCTCCCTTCTCTCATTGTCAGAGAGCTCGAGGCTCTCAAATCTCAGTATCCGGGACAAGTCACGGTGGACTATTTTGTGGACGAGGAAAACACATTCATCGGGAAAAAAACTATATCGGACGTTGCGGAATCTGCTATTCCGGCTGAGGGACCTGAGAAACGCAAGATGATCTTAGTCTCGGGACCGGAGGGCTTCATTAGCTACATGGCTGGACCAAAGCTCTGGGCGCAAGGTATGGAGCTTCAAGGACCGCTTCAGGGGGTCATCAAGGAACTTGACTTGAAGGATTGGGCTGTGTGGAAACTCTGACGACCAATTTCCTGCATATTCAAATGCTGGTAGAGGAAAAGGGAAAGCATAGATATCTTTATTATGTATATATCTGTATAGAAGTATAGAATCGGGTATTTTGTCTGTCGATAACTGACTCATAACCTCCGATAGCGGAGAGTCTTGGCGCTCTAGCTGCTTTTATCGGCACTTCCCCAGAGTGAGAAATAATGCGCTTCTTCTCATTCGCCAGACTTTCGCTCGCAAGAAAGGTCAACTCTTGAACGTCTCCTGGCAAGAATGGCCGTAGGTGCTTTCTACCATATCGTCTTAATCTCTAGCTGACCCCATGCAGTCTCGATTGATACCGTCCGGTGGCCCTGGCAGGCGCTGGGCATCCCTGCGCCTGCCGAGCACTCCTCAACGACGTGCGTTCGCCTCCACTAGGTTCTACTTCCAAGATATTTTTCAGTCGCAATTAGAGGATCCCTCGTCAGCTGCGATCTACTCCTCTCTTCAGGCGTCGAGAGCCGTTCCGCAGACCCTCACAGAGAAAATTGTTCAGAAGTACTCCGTTGGTTTGGCCAAGGACAAATTCGTCAAATCCGGCGACTATGTCACTATCTCGCCTCACCGGTGTATGACTCATGACAACTCATGGCCGGTTGCACTGAAGTTCATGTCCATTGGTGCAACAAAGCTACATGATCCGAAGCAGATTGTGATGACGCTCGATCACGATGTCCAGAACAAGTCGGAGAAGAACCTCCAAAAGTATCGACAGATTGAAGAGTTCGCCAAGCACCAAGGAGTTGAGTTCTACCCCGCTGGAAGAGGTATTGGACATCAAGTCATGGTGGAAGAAGGCTATGCTTGGCCCGGTACTCTTGTGGTTGCTTCCGATAGCCATAGTAACATGTACGGTGGCGTCGGCTGCTTGGGTACTCCCATCGTGAGAACGGACGGTGCTAGCATCTGGGCCACTGGGAAGACATGGTGGCAGATTCCACCGGTTGCAAAGGTCACTTTGACTGGTATATTACCACCGGGTGTGACCGGCAAGGATGTGATCGTCGCTCTTTGTGGGTTGTTTGATAAGGACGACGTCTTGAACCATGCAATCGAATTTACTGGCTCTGAGGAGACTATGCGCAGTCTATCGGTAGATGCCCGGTTAACGATCGCCAACATGACAACAGAATGGGGTGCCTTGTCTGGCCTGTTCCCAATTGACAGCGTATTGAAGGGATGGCTGAAAGGCAAGGCTACAACAGCAGCCATGGGGCTTGCGGAAGGTCCCTTCAAAACCTTAGCCCCCCAGCATTTCACACACCCGCTCCTTGAGCAGCTGTTTGCCAACCCCCTGACTGCTGACAAGGGAGCCAAATATGCTAAGGAACTTTTCCTGGATCTTTCTACACTTTCCCCTTACGTTTCCGGTCCAAACTCCGTCAAGGTTGCCACGCCTCTCAAGGACCTGGAGGCGCAGGATATCAAAGTTAACAAGGCATACCTCGTCTCATGCACTAACTCGAGGGCTTCGGATATCGCTGCAGCTGCTAGAGTTTTCAAGGAAGCCGCTGAAAAGAATGGTGGCAAAGTCCCCAAGATTGCCGACGGTGTTGAGTTCTATGTTGCGGCTGCGTCTATCCCTGAGCAATTAGCAGCAGAAGAAGCTGGTGATTGGCAAGCCTTACTAGATGCCGGAGCTACGCCATTACTGCCTGGATGCGCACAATGTATCGGGCTGGGAACCGGTCTCTTAGAGGCTGGAGAAGTAGGAATCAGCGCCTCGAACCGTAATTTCAAGGGTCGTATGGGAAGCACTGATGCGAAAGCATACCTTGGTAGCCCCGAAGTCGTTGCCGCTAGCGCTTTGACCGGAAAGCTCAGCGGCCCGGGCTGGTACCAGGCGCCGGAAGGTTTGGCTGAAGTTGTATGTGGAGAGGGAGATGGAATTCGCGAGGAGGATCGCATGCTTACCGCCGAACAAGCCCTGGAGAAATTAATCGGCCAGATTGATAACTTGGTTGCCGATGGTGAGAAGCAGTTTGCCCCAGAAGAGAGTGAGGAGTCATCGGGTGATTCCCTTACGGAGGTATACCCTGGATTCCCAGAGCGTGTTTCGGGTGAAATCGTTTTTTGCGATGCCGACAACATCAACACCGATGGTATCTATCCTGGTAAATATACCTACCAAGATGATGTTTCCCAAGAGACAATGGCTCAAGTCTGCATGTCCAACTACGATGTTCAGTTCTCGTCGATCGCCAAGGAAGGTGATATTCTAGTCACTGGTTTCAACTTTGGCTGTGGAAGCTCCAGAGAGCAGGCAGCGACTGCCCTTCTGGCAAAGAAGATCCCGCTCGTCGTGTCGGGAAGCTTTGGCAATATCTTTTCTCGCAACAGTATCAACAATGCCCTGATGGGTCTGGAGGTTCCTCGTCTCATCAACCGTCTCCGTGAGAGCTTTGCTGGAGAAGGAAGCGACAAAGCTCTCACGCGCCGCACTGGTTGGACCCTAACCTGGGACGTCCGGAGAAGCCGCATTGAGGTTCAGGAGGGAGAGAATGGTCCCAAGTGGTCCCACCAGGTAGGTGAACTGCCTCCCAATGTGCAAGAAATTATTGCCAAGGGAGGTTTGGAGAAATGGGTCAAGAACGAGATTGGGGCTTAAACAGTTTACTGTCGAAGTCGCTGAACATTTCTCAACCTCAAATGATCTTATACCCGAGCATTTTGATCCCCCTCCCCTGCATGGATAGATTTTTTCTTTTTTGTCCGTTACCGTGGATTTATGTTTCTAGTTGCCAGGTGCGGTAGACGGTTTGGGATGGTTATTCATGTACAAAAGAGCGGTTTTGTTGTGTATTTCGAATAATGTCTTTATATCATCATCATCATTATTATTAATATTCGTCCAATCGTGACTAAGTGGAGGTGGCTGTAAGATACGACGAGCGAAGATGCACTGCCTGTGCGACTGACTTGTTCTAGACTTGGTGGCTGTGTTTCGGACGATCGACCTGCCCTCCAATGCCTTGTCAGCCTACATACATGCTCCGCTGTAGTTAATTAACGTTCCTTGACCTATAAATTCCCCCAAAGCATTATCGAAGAATTGGCTTTGGGTTTCTGGGGTTCGACTCGTCAACGCCGCAGCTGTGGACTCCACGCAAGTCGTGCTTTTATCTTGACTCTCCTCTGAAGAAGGTCGTCTTCTCTCCCTGGGGTAGATGTGATCTGCACGCTATTGATTGCCTTTCCCACTTAGCCCTTGTTAGGGTTGTCTATTTGTCTGTCACAGAAGCACATACACGACCTGGCGCAACACTCCTCTTTCCTTCATCTATATCCTTCCTCTCATGATACTTTCGTTGTGAAGCGAAACGGATAACGCTCCTATGGATCCAGGTTCTATATTTGGCGTGATTTCTGGCGCATTTCAGCTTGTGCAGGTCATCACACAGACCGCTGCGGGGTTGGCGACGTTGCGCGAGAAGTTCAGCCACGCAGATCTCACAATTCGGTCACTCCTTTCACAGTTGTCGACCATCGAAAGAGCCATTACAGAGCTGGATGAGTGGGCAAGGTTCAATACTCGCGACACAGCTGAAGAAAATGAAATTGACGAGGGTCTCTTTGTTGCGTTGGATGGCTGCCGGGCCGTCATGGACGTCCTTTCCGATCAGGTCGCTACCCTCACCAGAGGCAATGACACACAGTTTGGGATAGGCACTCGTGTAAAGATCCTATGGAATGAGGACATAATGCGAGGCCATCAGGACAGGTTACACGCTCAGATTCTCGCGCTACAACTTTTGGTTCAGGCCTGTAATTGGTGAGATTCTATTTACATGTTAACGACAGGCAGATTTGGGCTGACCCGCCGTAGTAAATCGACGTCTGACCAACTCAAACTGCTTCGCAGAGCAGAAAACCGTCAAATTATCCAGAGGGTTGCCAGTGACACAGCGACACTTCGGTCCTCAAGCAGCTATGCAGCCTCCCGCGCCGATAGCTCTAGCCTGAGTCATCGCCAATCTTCGTCCGGAGATACTGTCTTTGACTTCGATGGGAGACTACTTTCCTCTCCCCCTTATCGTCGTATACTCTCGTGGTCAAGAGCGGAAACACAATCTACTGCCAGTAATGGCAACGAAAGCCGGAGTACTGATGAAGGCTATGGCAGCGGTTCGGTGAACACACCAAATATGTCACGGGCAAGCAGTCTTGTACTGCCAGTTCTACCATATGACACAATCCGCCCGGGACATGGCCATAGTAAGAGTGTGTCATTCAGACCCTCTAACTTTCAGCCGAACCCAACACAATTCCAGAGATGGCAGTCAGACTCCACACCCTCTTCCCCAATCAGCCGCTCTTCGAGCTCCAAGCGGGAAAAGATTCGTGCAGCCTTCCGGCAACTGAGTCGCTCGAAGTCAGTGGCTCACGATCCTGTACGAACCCTAACAGGCGGGTCAATGGCAGCACGGCGGATCAATGGACGAGATATGCATACCAGCATCGACCTAACAACACCAGAGGGGGCTGCTGCGCCACTTATCGTCAAGACAGCCCAGTCAGGCTCTCGTTCAGATGTTGAGAGGCTTATAGAAAGTTGCCATGATATTGAAGCCTGCCATGTAAATACTCGAAGAAATGCATTACTGGTAGCATCGCACTGTGGAAACGAAGAAATCGTTGAATTGCTCCTTCAAAGAAACGCTCGACTAAATGTCACAGATAAGTCAGGGTCGACTGCCCTACACCTTGCTGCCTCTCGCGGTCATTGTGAGGTTCTCAAATTGCTTCTTTTGGAAGGCATTGACACGGAAGCCCCAAATTTCAGGGGCAGAACTGCGCTCTGGCTTGCGGCAGAGAATGGACAACTTGAAGCCGCAAGCATCTTGATTGCCGGCCTAGCTAAGGTCAACGCGCGCGCTGAGAACCAAATGACCCCGCTGCATACTGCCGCAAAGGAGGGTCATGAAGCCGTTGTTGAATTTTTGGTTTCGAATGGAGCCGATCTGGAAGCCAGAGATGGAACGATGATGACAGCACTGCACCACGCCTGCGAAGAAGGTCACATGGGCGTGGTTGAGCTGCTTCTTACCCACAAGGCGGACATCGATGCGGTTGGAAGTGATAACAGGACGCCACTTGTTTGTGCCGCAGCGATGGGCCGGTTGCAGGTAACGCAGGCTCTGCTAAAGAGAAAGGCATCCCCTAGACAGGTCGATGATGCTTCTATGACAGCGTTACACTGGGCTGCTTACAATGGACACACAGAAGTTGTTGACCTTCTTAGTCAAAAGAAAGACATTCTCGCGGTGACCAACATTGCTGGTCGGTCAGCTCTGCACTTGGCTGTCCTGAATTCTAAATTTGCCGTTGTGGAATTACTCCTTCGCAAGCGTGTTCCAATGGAAACGCAGTGCCGTTCCGGGTTTGCTCCACTTCACTATGCTTGTATAACTAAAACTGATAATACCGGAATTGTGAAGCTCCTGCTCATCTCGGGCGCCAATATAGAAGTGCAAACGAAGGACCAACAAAGGCCAATTCATCTCGCCGCAGCTCGCGGTTCCATAGCATTGCTTAACCTACTTTGTGACAAAGGCGCATCTTTGATAGCTCGAGATGCTATTGGAGACCGAGCGCTTTGTGCAGCATGTCGGTATGGACACACAGCTGCAGTTCAACATCTCCTAGATCGGGGTTCACCTCTATCTTTACCGTACGACGATAAGTTGCAGGAAGATTCTCCTCTTTGTCTGGCCGCAATGGGAGGTCACCTTCCCATTGTAACGCTTCTGCTTCAGCGCGGCGCTTCCGTCCTGAAAAAGGACGAACAGGGATGGCAGCCGTATCATCATGCAGCACATTACGGGCACCCAGATGTTTTGCGACTCTTGCTGTCCTGCAGTCCCACGGGGTGGGTCATGGAGGGAGCAAGTGAGGACTTTACGATGGAAAGGATTGGCTTTTCACCTTCTGCGGATATCTCGGAGGAAAAGAAGAAGGCGATACAGGACTTATTGAGCGAATCACGGCGGCGACCAGTGGCAACGACCGAGAGCATTCCGCCCGGAGTTCCTCCATTTTTGGGTGATGTGATGCTGAGCACAATGCCAACAAGGGGACAAAATCGGCCTTCGGGGCTGGCTGGAAATCAGTATGTGCCGTTCACAGGACAAGTTCCAGTTATTCAAGAGTTGCCCGGGACACTGGAACAGGGCCTGCCCCCCAGTCGATCCACTACCCCGGAGCAGATGCACCGTGATACGAGGCCCCGCCGTGGCTCTGGCACTCTCTTGCAAGCTCTACCCGAGCAGGGCTCGCCAGAACAGCACATTGCTACACCTCGCGCTCGGTATCCTCAGGCTTTGGCAGAAAGACCGCAAAATGAGGACTCGAATTATCATTTGCAGGAAGGTGTAAACTCAGCAGCGGTTGGAGGCTCAGCGCTCAGCGATTTACCTCCAGGCACCGTGTACCATCTTTTAGAGGAATGGTCCCAGCCATGCTCAACAGCATCCCCAGTGTCGATGATTAATAATCCTGTCTTGGAACCATCAGCTGCAGTGAAACTAGCCCGAGAGGTCTCATGTGAGGGCCCAGGTAGAGAATCTGACGCAGAATCAATATCGTCGGTATACACTGCGCCAGAAGGAGTTGTGTAGCTAGCGACTTGGAATGGACATGGCGGAAAGCCCCCACAGTCATGGAAACGATTGTGTAAACTTTCAGCCCATAGGGTTGAGTAAATCAGTTGCAGACTAGACCGTGAGGGGATGATGTGATCGGGGAAACCCGCAGAACGACGGCTATGGCAAATGGTAAACTACTAGTAGACGGCATCCATCTTCATCCATGATGGGATCGATGACTCCTCGATCTGTAGCACTTGACCTGGAATCAGGCCGCATTGCCCAATAGGCTTGCAGCATCCGGCATGACTCACGGGCAAGTTCCCGGGACAAAAGATGATGATGAAGAAAAAAACAAGGGGAAAAAGGGAAAGAGGAGTAGTCGGGGTAGTAGAGGAATTCCAACCGATAGAGAATGACTTGATGGACCTGGAATGTCTCCAGCAGTTGTTCTCCGAGGTGTGTCACTTATTCGCAAAGTGAAGAAAACCGACCAGTCTTTTCCCCCAAGAAAAGAGAGAGAGAGAGAGAGGGAAATCTCACCTCTGGAGGATCATGTGGAAAGCTCGAGAAGTAAGGCGATGGTTCAAGATTCGAGCAGAAGAAAATAAGCAGGCAGCATGAATCAAAATGTTAGTCATTGCTGCTGCGTTGCTTCATTGCCGTGGATGCCTTGAGGCAGACATGGTTTGGCCCCGAGAGTATAAAAACGACTCATGTCTACAGCCTTCTTCTCCATACTCTTTACTCTTTACTATTTACAATCATCTACAAAGCCGAGGCCATACGAAGCTATCCCCCTCTGTTCTTTCTTCACTTCTTCTCGTCCGCCTCTATGATCCTAATCTTTTCTTTACTCTCTTCCTATTATTGTCATCAGACCCCTTTTCTACCTCCCTAACTCGGACCTGATATAGTCTCACGATACTCTGTAGCGATAAAGGTCTTGCGTGACGATGGATTTATCGGGTAACCGGTCCAGCTGGTCCTCGACTGACGCCAAACACTCAATGGCACGAGGAGATTATAACGCCCCCTCAGTCTTCCAGACTTTCCGTCCTCACATAACCGGTCCATTCGACTTCGCAGCCATGCAAGGTCGCGGCGGTTACAATGACCCGAATGATAGCGGCAAAGATAGTTGGGTTACCTGAACCATCGACAGCTTCTTCTGCACTCATATGGACGGCCATGGCAGAGAGGCATCATTAAAAGCGGCTCCGTTAGCGCACATTGTAACGGTTCACTTCCCAACGCAAAACCTAGTACACAGTTAGCAAAGAGCCAACACCTCTCCGGATGAGCAGCGAGACATACTTCTCAAACACAACCCCCAGAACGTCCTCCACGTCGCCGCTCTCGCCCTTACCGGTTATTGTCGCCAACGCATCGGCCGCAAAGCGCAGGTGTTCGGCGGCTGTCACGACATCTATTTCCATCTCAATAGGCTGTCGCGCATGTTCATGGCTTAGCATTGGCGGCGCATGGCTTCTCGAAGTTTGGGTCAGGAAATCATCCAAATATTGCAGGCATCTTTGTAGATTAGAACTTTGTCGATGTGTCACTCCTAGAGAATCTTCCCAATACGATAGATTATATTCTCCATTCGCATCACCTTCGATACCCGATGGAGATGCAATTTCTTCGAAGGTAGAGATAAGCCCGCGGATGAACTCTTGTAGATGACCCGGGTCTTTCCGCTCGGGTGCGGATTCCAGTTGCGCTTCATGACAAGAGATGCCGAAGATGCGCTTCTGCGGCACAGTAGGAAATATATCACCCACTGTGGCGAGCAACTGCGGGGGCAGAAGCTGACTATTCTGGTCATCCAAGGGCAGCCGGTCGCATTTATTAATTGCAATAACAATGCACTTGTCCGCTGCAACACAGTCATTGACCGCCTCTACTACTTCCTGCTCGATTGACAGCTGATACGGTATGTCATCGGAGGTGCCTTTCTCCAGAGACAAGACCGCAACAACAACATCGGATTCGAGAGCACGAGCTTTGGCGCGCCGAATACCTTCTTTTTCAACCGCCCCGATCACGACCGATCCTTTCCCATTGACAGGCTCGGAACGGATTCCGGCCATATCACCAAGCTTACAGTACCATCCGCTCAGGTCGACTCCGACATCCACGATATCACGGGTGGTTCCTTCTTCGGTGCTAACAATAGCAGCCTCCTTACCTACGATCCGGTTCAATAAAGAGCTCTTGCCCGCGTTGGGCGCACCGAGCAACGCAATCTTGATTCCATGGCGTAATAGCTCCCCTTTGGAGGCGTTCTGAATATGGAACGCAACTTGAACCCGCAGTGCCTGCACTTGCGACGCAACCGAGAGTACCAGCTCATCGGAAGACTCGTCAAAATGCTGATCTTCGGCGAAATCGATCAGCGCTTCAAGCTCCCCGCGTGCATAGAGCAGCTGCTGCCGCCACTGCTCATATCGCCTAGACAACGCATCACTAGCACCTCTGACAGCCAGGCGACGCTGCTGTTCGGTGTCCGCAGACAACGTATCGCCAAGAGCTTCTATCTGCGGCAGGTCCAGTCGGTTGTTCATGAAGGCACGACGAGTGAATTCGCCGGGTTCGGCGTAACGAACGAGCAAGTCTGGTGAACTCACGCGGGCAATAGCTGTAAGGACGGACTTAACGATCGCTGGCCCACCGTGAAGATGTAATTCAAGAACGTCCTCCCCTGTAACTGTCTTGGGGGCTGGGAAATACAACACCAGGGCCCCTGCATCAAGGACGCTGCCGCTGGAAGGTTCACGCGTAGAGTCGAATAAAGTCCGTACAGCTGCACGGCGCGGTCGGGGAAGCGGCGCTTTTGGACATAACGCTCGATATACCTAAGGGTGAAAGACAACATCAGCCACCTAGCAGCCCAACAGGTTGTAGACAAGTTCAGCTTACCTGCACACATCCTGGGCCTGATACACGCACAACCGCAATGGCAGCTCGACCAGGCGCAGTCGAAAGGGCGTAGATGGTAGAGTCTCCATCTATACGTGACTGTGTCGGTCTCGAAGCGGAAAACGATCGGCTTTGCGGTACCGCCGGACGTGGAAACAAGACATAGCGCGAGGGATGGACAATATCCCGAAGGAAAGCGCAGCTATGCCTGCTCCATGACGGGCGAAAGGGAATCACCCGGCGCAGGTTTCGAAGATAAGACGCTCGCATGCGCAAAACGGCACTTGCGGCAAAGTCAAAGAATAAGTATGATAGTAGAAAGGAAAGATTCTCCAAGCAGTTGATTTATCGCATCTGGTCACGTGGGCATAAGGGAGATCCATACCATGTATGTTGGATTTCTTTTTCCTAGGGCATGTTCACCTCCTTGTTTTCTTGTAAAATATATTAAAGGATATATATCTATGTTTCCCTATATATTACTTTTGTTCGGGGGGTGTTATGTCCCTACGATCCTTAGAGTGAAGTTGTCATGTATGGTTTCTGTCGTTGGTGACTTCACATCGTAAGATACAGTGCAACCAACCACATGCGTGTCTGATGCATAAACATCACTGACTCCATAAGATGAATGTTTGAAGGTAAATCAATGATAGCTGCGTCACCTCGTCACGCCTGCGCGTCGAAAGACGCGGCCATACGCCATGTAAAAAAGCCGCTCGATTACCCACCACAACCGACATGCAATAAACAATTGCTAACCATGCACATCAAAGGAGATATCACGCGTACAACCCAGAAGGAAATATGACGTTACGTATGTACAAAGAGGGAAATCGAGACATAAGCTGAAAGCCATTCCGATGGGAGCTGAAAACAAAGGAGTCGCTCGCTGTAGAAGCAAGGAAGTGGGTAAAACAATGTACTCTTGAAGACATTGTTCGAAAATCCAGTAACAAGAGAAAGGGACTAAAGGAAGAACAGTGAAAGGATGGCCCCATCACGCTAGCTGAGTGCCTTCAAAACTGACAACTCAGATGCAATAGGAAGAAGACAGAAGGAAAAGAGAAAGAAAGAGCAGCAAAATATTATACACTCAGTAAGGCAAAATTTCCAAGGCGATGTCTATCAGGTATTATGTTAGGGGGAAAAGAAAAAGAAAAGAAAAGAAAAGAGAGAGAAGGGATGATGAAAAGCCGGATAAGCGAAAGAAAACATCAATTTGATGGTTCGGAAAATCTGCCAGGAGAGTCGGCATCGGGTTCATTATCACTTGAGCGGTGGTGTTGTTCTGTTGTTGGAGACACGACGATGACTGGAGTAACCGGTCGTTGCGAAGCGGCATCTTCTGGACTAGTCGCGATAGGCTCTTCTAAACCTTTCGAGTCAATCCTTGACGGTGTCATGGGCTCCGGTACTGGGGACAAAGCAGAGCCGTCCGCACTGTCTTTACTCCCACCCGTTGGCCCATTCCGTCTCCGTAATCTGCGTTTTCGACGTTCTTCTTCAGCGCTTTCCCTTCGTCTTCTGGACCGCTCCCCATCGGCATTATCTCTTAGACCTTGTAACATGCTTGCAGCACGATCTGCAACATCTTCACTCTCTGAGATCTGTGTCGAATCTTTGCTTGTGATCCCAGAGTCCGAGCCTAGGCTAAGGGGGCTCAGAAGCCCTGTCTCTGTAACATTTGGTTCATCGTTACTGGCAACATTGTCATTGACTTCGTTCCCATCATTGGTTCCACCACCTTCCGTGTCTTCAGCTCCAGGTAGGTCTGGCATCCTTTGGCCCGAAGCCACGCGAATCTGATGTCGTTCCTTCAATCTAGCACGACGTCGACGGTCACGCTGATCCCTAGCCTGAGGAGCTGCAGCTCGTAACTTCTCCAAGAGAGAATCCATGGCCCCGCTTGAGGCAGGCAGCTGTGACGTTTCACCTGAGCCAGCACTGTTTGCAAGAGCAGCATTATTACGTTTGCGAGCAAGTGATGCTTCTGTACGCTTTCTAGCCTCCTCCAACGAGATATTCTTTTCCTTGGATTTCTGTGGATCGAAGTCTCATTAGCCAAAATCCCCAGAGCATGCACGGGGCTCTAGATTAGCTCCAAACTTAACTTACCTTCCATTCAAGCAAGAAAGCAGCCAACTTGGCAAAGAAGTCTCGTCGAGCGCCCTCATCTGTGTTGTCCTCACCGTAGAAGACCATAATGTCATCGTACGACTTAATCATCTCTTCAAGATAGAGCTGCATTTGCTCGGCCTTGCGCCTAGCCTCCTTCATACTCCTTTGAACGACTTGGCTGACGCGGTCTTGCGGGTGAAATTTCTTAGGATCGCTTAGATTACCAGCGTCTAGGCTCGCCTGTACATTCTTAATATTGTCAATGTACTTCTTAGCATCTGTCCGCAACTGATCGACATTAAGTTTCTGAAGGGCGACAACACCGTTGATGTCATCAACGAAACCTTCCCATTCTGGATATTGATTGCGAACAATCCGCTCGACAAGATCTGCAAAGGTGGTTTCGTTCTTATCATCCTTCACCATACCTAATCGAGCGAGAGAGCTCAGCTTGAAACCTTGAGCTTGCTTATTAGCATCGTTCATGAAATTTCCGATATCTAAGATCAGGCCAAGGACATTCATCAGAGCTACAGAATCCCTCAGCGATTCGCTCACTTTCACAACCTGCTGAAGCTTGGCGGATATATGCTCGTAGTCGGGCTCAAAGGAGCGAGTTAATGCAAGGGCACGCATTCTCGCTTTCCAATAATGGTTCAGCTCGAAAGCGGTAT